AGAAATAACAATCGAGAAGTTTCAAAAAATTCTTTTCCGATTGTTATTTTCTATTATCTGTGAATAGTTTGTAATCTCACGAAACAACGGTTTATCAGGAAGTAATTTTAATTTTCTCATTTCAACTAACAACCTATATATTTCCATTTTGAATAGCATGCTTCCAGCTTCAACTCCAACTTCTCATATTATCATAGACTAATATTATCAATGTTTTTACAGAAGATTGTGAGCAGCATTTCATTATTTTGTTGAGTACAGCGACATCTTTTGCTGACGCTTTGAAACCTAATAAAGATTTCTGCAGTAGAATTGTGTATGTTTAGTTGCATAACGATAGCATAGTGCAATTTTTCACATTGGCTCAAGTCTGAATCCAGGAAATTGTTGAGGAGATACAGGGTGACATGAAAATGAATACAAATATTTCAAACCACAAAAAAGTTTGACGAATAGTATTGAATGGCAGCAATGAGAAAAAGAAGGGATCAAAATAAAATTTGAAGTGAGACGCCCTTTTTCATGATCTAGTCCACATTGATATAGCTGCAAAGATCACACAATTTGCAGATGATACTACATTATTTTTGCATAGTAAGAATGAATTGAAATTGCAGAAATTGATCAATCAGGATATTATGAAGATAAAAGTCTGGTGCGATGCTAACCTTTTATCATTCAATATTTCAAGAACAAGTCTCATTATCTTTAAGGGTTATTCAGGCTGGAAATCGTCTTGGGTAATGAGATAATCGGAAATGAAATTTCAACAAGATTTTCAGGCTTACAAATTGAAAACAGCCTGCAATTTACTGAACATATAAATAGCATTTGTAAAAAAGTTTAGTTAGGTTGCTTTGCCGTCAGAGTATCAGCAAAAACTTATTGATTCCCACCTACGATATGGTATCTGTTTTTGAGGAACATGTTCCCATATTTTTATTCGATATTGTGTTTGTTTTACAAAAAAGGAGTTAGATATATGTGTAATGTTAAATTCAGGGATTCTTGCAGACCATTATTCGTAAAATACAATATTTTGACATTTTTATTGCATTTTTATTTTAGAGACGGTATGTTTGATGCAAAAAAATATATAACAATGATGAGGTTCAAAAGACCGAGATTGTCCATAAACTATAGAGAAAATATCAACATTATGACCAAATTTACTCTTATTTTTCCAAATTTTTTGGGATTTTCTCTCCTCGTTTCTATAAAATAAAAATATGAATACTATTTCAATATACGTGTAGTGAGGACAAATCAGATGATTTGTACTAAAATGTCACTGCGTTTGAAGAATTTTCCTATCAGAGAGCCTAAAACAAAAATTCACCAGCTTGTCAGTGACAATTTCTATTGAAAAAAGTTTGGAGAAGAGAAATAAAGTTATATAAAAAAAATATAAAATTTTCACTTATCTTTGGGCGTTTCGGGAACGAATCTGCTTCCGTGTCCAATAATAATTGCACAATTGAACCCTATGCTGGAACAACGTTGTAAACGCCAAAAATGTTTTTTTTTGGGAAATCGAAAAAAACTATATATGTTCGATTGTTTCATCAAATGAAGTGAATATTTGCCTGATATGACTAGCAAGGAAGAACTTGACTGCATGATACGCAAAATAGACTTGACCACATGCAGAATTATGATTTACGAGCATATTTCTCTATTTTCAATCAAACAACGTTATATATCCACGTCGGTTACAACGTTATTCCAGGGAACTAAGGCGGTTACAACGTTGTTTCAAGATCAAAAATGAAGCACAAGTAAAAAAAGGCAAAGAATTTTCATTATTATTTAGTTGTGTCATAACTGAGTCTTTCAAAGAAACGTCCATTTCTGCTTATAACGACGATGAACTACAGACCAAACACATGTAAACAAAGAAAGAGCAGGGGAATCTAGAAGCTGTGATAGCACATACAACGTTGTTCCATAAACTCTCCAAACTTGACTAACCGAAATGACACCAGAAATCATCATAAAAATTTCCTATGCCCTCACTATCATGACAGCGGATTGTATAGGTCGCATACAGCCTTGTTCCATGGAAATACCGTTTTTATAGATATTGGCGGTTACAACGTTGTTCCAGCATAGGGTTCAATTATTGTTTTTCATAAAAAAATATGATAAAATATAAAATGGAGATATTTTTATAAGTAATCAAATTGTGAATTATAAGTAGATATGGAATTAGAGTTTACTGAGAAGATATATTTTTTTATTGATTTTGAATTCTTCTGCTTCTTCTATATTTTTCAACTCATCAGGTAAGGAGTTATATAAAATTATTCCATTATGGAATATTGATTGTTTACCAAAATTTGACTTATAATTATTTGCTATCAATAAATTAAATTGCTCCCAAATTTGATATTTTCAATTCCTCCCTTACAAAATGAATAAAACAACAAATTTTGAGTTTGTATAATGAAACTAGATTCAGCGAGTCTTTAGGTTTGTATAGATTTGCAGTTGATTCTAAACAAGATAAATTTAAAATGCACTTTTGTGTCTTATTTTGTGATTTCATTTGTACTTCCCCAAATCGATATCAGATATCGTAAATTTGAATAAATAAGACATAAATGAATACTCTTTAGGTATCTTACAGGAATGAATTTTCGAATTTTATATACATATAATACCAGCAATAGGATTCAGTTTTTTCCTCGAATGATCTACAGGTAGAATCCATATTCCGATTACAGAATAATTATTATATAATGTGACATTCTGATATTATTGCACTATTTCAGTCACATAATAAACTTAATTTTGCTATCATGAAAAACTGTACAGGGTGGACAAAAAACATTGACACTGGTTGAGACCGTGTATCTCAAAAGTTAGGACATAGATGGTTTTCTTGAACCGGGTCCAAGAATTGCTTCTTTGAATAATGGCATGTCATTAAGGAACACCCTGTATACCCCACTTCTCTAAACATTTTTTAAAACAAGGTGTCCCTGACTAATGATTGCATTTTTCGTCTGGGCTCTCTGATAGTGGAAATTTCAAACTCAGTGACATTTTGGTGCAAATCATCTGATTTGTATTTACTTCACAACTATATTGAAATGATTTTTTTATCGCTTGGAGCGCACGAAAGGAAATCCCTATAATGTTCAAAGAACATCGTGCGTTCCTAGGGAGGATAGGGACAGGAGGTATAGGTATTGGAATTTTTTTTGAACTTCTGGAGATTATATGTTGTTGGGAATACTTCCTCAGGCAATGAATTCCAGAGCCTAGCAGTTCTATGGATGAAGGGGTTTTGATAAAGTGCTGTTCGACATCTTTCGAGGTTGACAACGAAAGGATGTGCTGACTGGGCTTGTCTAGTTCGTCTGACTGGTATTGCTCGTGAAGGGATGGGAGCAGAGATTTCCGAAGAACATTTCCCCTGGAAGTTTCGATAGAAAAGTGAAAGGTCGCCGACCTTTCTACGGTGTTCCAATGATGTCAAAGAGTGAGTGAGTGTGGCGTCACCCACCAGGCGAATGGCTCTTCTCTGGATGGAATCTAAGAGCATCAGCGTATGTTATGGTGCTGAACCCCATATGTGGGAACAGTATTCTAGCAGGAATAATGTTGGTGCCAAAATTGATCCTTGTGGAACGCCGGAATTGATGCCAATGGTATCAGACGATACACCGTTCACCACCACGTGAAGCGATCTGCCTGAAAGAAAACTCGATAAGAGATGGGATAGCTGAGGTGGTAAGCCGTATGATGGTATTTTGTGGAGGAGTCCTTCGTGCCAAACACGGCCGAATGCATTCGATATGTCCAACGCGACAGCTAGAGATTCCCCGTGTTTTTCTGATGAAGCTTGCCATAAATGGGTGACGTAGGCAAGTAGATCTCCAGTAGATCTTCGGTGGCGAAAGCCGTATTGTCTATCATTGATGATTCTTGAGCTCTCCAGATATTTGATAAGCTCAATATTGATGGCTTTCTTTCACTTTGGAGATTACTGATAACAGGGCAATGGGCCTGTAGTTGTTGGGCAGGTTCTTGTTCCCTTTTTTGGGGATTGGTTGGGCTCTGGCTGTCTTCCAGCATGATGGAAAAATACCCGACCTGTACGAGACGGTAAACAACTTGCAGAGAATTCTGGTGCACATTTCTTGAGGATAATGGGTGGAATTCCATCAGGACCGTTAGCCTTATTCGTTTTGAGGCCAAGCAAAATTCGTCTGATAGTACGTTGACGGAAGACGATTTCGGGCATTCGACTCGTAACGGGTGGAATGTCTAGCGGCACTTTTCCTTGGGAATCTGAAGTAGAGTTTGCTGCGACCATCTCTGCAAAAATATTTGCTTTCTCCTGCGATGTTGTTGCTGATGTGCCGTCGGATTTGGACAGTGGTGGAAATGAACTATTAGTGAAATTTCTTCCGGCTGCTTTAGCAGGGGACCAAAACGAACGGGAGCCATTGGGACAATCTATGAGTTTCGATGTTATCTTGGCATTGTATGTTTTTTTCGAAGCATCTATTGTTTGGCTGCAGTTATTCCTGGCATCAACGTATTCTGCTCTAGTCGCGAGGTTAGGGTTTTTGCGCCAGCGATGGTAGGCTGTTTGTTTCAAAGCAACAGTTCTAGAACAGTTTTTGTTGAACCAGGGTTTCGATGGTGATGATCTCATACTCATATTTCCATTTTATAGAGACGAGGAGAGAAAATCCCAAAAATCTGGAAAAATTAATTTTTATTATACTTATTATTTGGACAATTAATGTCTGAAGTAGGGTGAGAGTTCGAATGAATATTAAAAAAATCTTGATGGTCATTTTTGATGGTTGATCGATTAATATCCCAAAACGAAATGTGAAAGAACCCGAAATCTACGAAACCATTATAGGTACATATTACATCTCAAAAAACATCATTATAAACAAATTACCCAATTAATTCATCATCAGTGTGATGTGATGGACGTCAGTACCTATATTTTTCCATTGAAGGTTGTCCACTTTTGTTAATTTTCTTTCAATGAAGCAACTTCATTGACTCACACACGTCCAACAATTTCAGTCACAGGTGTTTATGATTCAGTGGAGGTTGCATCTAGTTATAAAACAGTTGCAGTCGCTTTGTATAGTGCGGATTGTTCATTATAAAAAAATGGAAGTTTTTGGTTTAGTAGTTTTATTTCTTGTTGTTGTAGAATGCAGGAAGTTACGTAAGTATAGAACTCTCAACTAGTGGATAATTGTTATGAGCTGAGATCTCAAATGTATTGTAAGGGATGTTTTATTCAGAAATCAGCGATGATGGAGTTTCATTTAAAATCACTTAAAATGCGTTTCAACAGATTTTTCATAATAATTATTGCAAAATACAAAATTGATTAATCTGATATATTGAAAGTTTATTTATTTCCACTTTCTGTGGATTAATCGTGGAGTTCGAATATGCATTGCTACAAATATTTTCCCAAATCATTTCTATGAATAAGAGTAGATTATAAACCCAGGAGCTAAATACGCACTTTTAATCCCCTTCAAAATTGTACCAGACGGCAGGGCCGATCCTAGGGTGTCGGCCGCCCGCGTGCATAAACCTAATGTGCCGCCCCTCTAGAGAATTTTTCATATTTTTCAACTATAATACCTGATGACTTCATAACTTCAACTACTTGTACAAGGATAAGAAGTAAAACACAGAAAAAAAATGTAGACAAAATCTTCATGCGCCGCAGGCGAATTTTTTCTGAGTTCAAGGTCAAATGCTTTCAGGTAATAACTCCATTTCAGTGCATACCGGGAGCGGCCAAGAAACTCAGACAAAATTTTCCTATGGCAAAAAATGCGCCGCAGGCGAAATTTTTGTTGGGATTCAAATTCATCACATTAGTATATTACAGTTTATTGTAATTGATATAAAATGATCTGGAATCTGAAAATAAGAAGAGCAAGTGAAAAGTATTTTAAATGGTGTCTGTAGTTTAACCAAGTGGATGTTCTCCAGATTTTTTGGGATTTTCTCTCATAGTCTCTTAGTAAGTAGTAGAAATGCATAAATAAGCTACCGCACAGTGATGGAACAAAACATCCTTAGGCGTCTGAAAAATATGCCCCTTGGTTATTGTTTCAAATAGAAATTTAAAATTTGGGAAGATAAGAATGTGTATAAAAAGTAGACATTAATTGACAATGGACCAACACACTATTTACTATCATTTTATTTATTCAAAATGAAGCATATTCATTCGACTTATGAGTTTCAAATAATTTTGTTTGATAGGACAATATGCGGCCTGCGGCCGCCCCTTGTTTTCGCCGCCCGCGTGCGGGGCACGCGCTGCACACCCGCTAGGATCGGCCCTGCCAGACGGGTTGATCTGTAGGGCATCGCCAAATATTCTTCAAACAAAGTGAATTTTTAAGCGCAGTTACGTTTTGGGACAAATCATCGATTCCAACAAGAATATTGAAATATCATTGATAATTTTATTTCTAGGGACGAGGGGAGAAAGTGTCAATGGAGAATTGAGAAGTGAATTCTGTATTTTTTATTCTGGTGATTTATCGAGTCATTTCGTATTATAAACCTTGCTGTATGATATTTCTTCGGAATTTCATAACAATTTAAGAATCCTGTTTCGTATAGGCAATTATTACGATAGAACCAATAATAGAGCTGCAGATTTTCGGAAAAAATGAATGTGAATGAATTTAACAATGAAAAATGATCTCACATCGGTCGTTTTCCGAAAACTCTTTACCAGAACTCGTTCCTCTATAGAACAGCGAAGCTTTGGAATTTAACCCATTTGTGCTCAAATTATATATTTTCAAATTCCCTCATTTTTTTCGAAGGTGCTGAGAGAAAACAAGTCAATGGTGCTAAGAAATGATATAATTTGCAATATTTTTTATTATTTGTGATGAAAAAAAAACACTGATACCATATGGTATCCGTGCGCTCTTGAAAGCATTTCCATTATGGAATCAGAAAAATTATACATACCTTTATTATATGCTATAATACGAAACAAATTCCTTATTTGGCACATTGTTCTACTTGAAGATGTATGTACATACATCCAGCACATCTACGTCTGTTACATGAGATGAGCTGACAAAACCTGAGGAAATTTTCGAACCATCGGTTCTATGTCACCGGAAAACCGGTCTCTGTTTTCTGATTTTTTTTATGTTCTGGTTCCCACGAAAAGGGATATCCTGTAATGTTGTCAAATTTCAAGGCACTTCCACAGTAACTTCAAAAACTCCTTGGAAATAATATAACGAGTATATTTTCACGTCCTGAAGGCAAAAATGTTCACTTACAGTTCCAGGCTCATCATTCTGAGTCATTTCTTCAATTCTCCCATTACTGAACAATTTAATTTCTGCAGGATATCTCAATTGAGGACCTACAATAGCAAAAATCATGGAATCATCAAATTGTTTATGTGGTGGAGTTGTGACTGTAAGTTCTTTCACCCCTCCTGATTTATATCACCTCCACTTTAAGTTATGAATCACCTTCGTTGGTTATTTCATCAAACGCCCACGGATACCATGGTATCCGTGACTTTACGATCATTATAGTACACCCTGTATACATAGTATTCATTTCATATATATCCAGGCATATTGTATCATTCATATGCAATGGATAAATGTAATACATGTTACTTATAATAAAACAGAAATAATTAAAAAATTACTTCACTATCGAATGTCCTTTGTTCTTTTCAAAATGGAATCACTCGATATAATGGGCGTGTACACCTTAGTAGAACTTTTAACTCAAACCATGTTTATAATGATCATTTTATACATAAATAATGATTGACGTCATGATTCGATCGAAACATTAACTGGAATGTTTTATTTCTGGACATAAATAATAGTACCTCCTGAAAACGGACCCTCTTATGACGTAGAAACCTCATCTCGCCATAGTTGAAAGAAAATACCAAACGCCCGACGGAGACTGAGGCAACTGATATATTAATTCTTTCAACTGTGATCTCGCGCTAATTCACTCTGTCAGAAATTATGTATCATTCATCTCTGTCTGGAATAGTCTTGTTTCAGTATTAGGGTTTTGACGTCACATCATCGATACAAATTTTTCGTGATATAAGCCCATTCATTGGATTACCAATGCGGAGACGTCTCTAAACACAATTACAGTAATAGAAAATTGAAAGCACAAAGCACGCAAACAAGCTCGCAAAATTCCACTATTTCAATAATCATTGCGTTGTGTTGGAGAAGGGGAAGATGATTTGCGATACCATATGGTATCCGTGGGCATAAATGGGTTAATGAAGTATTTACAAGAACCTATCTCCAATACCTACCTTCTCTACACTCTACCTATCGTTCCTAGGTACGTACGATCTTTTCCGATCTTCTTACCTTCAATAGGCGTCAAAAATTCTTCTTTATATCTTGTCTCATCGAGATATTCAATCCGCTTCGTTTCCCACGCTCCCCTCCATTAAAACTCCCTTGTTTTCAGCCTCCTTCGTAGAACCCTGCCTACGAACAAACCCGAACATCACCGCCTGCATCCTTCACAACGTGGAACTCCTGAGGCCCCGATTCCTGGCAGGAATCCCCGAACTCTTCATCCCCCCGCTGGACCCGCTGGTGCTCCCCAAGGCCTCCCTGGACAGCGGCGACCAATTCTCCGCTTCCTTCTCGGACATCCAGATCTACAACGCGCTTGATTTTCAGCTGGAGAAGGTCCACTTGGACCTAGAGAAGTTCAGCGTCGATTTAGCGATCATGTTTCCATCGCTGAGGATCAAGTCAAGATACGAATTGGACGGGAAGCTGCTGGTGCTGCAGCTCAAAGGCCAAGGACTGGCTGATGGGAATTACAGTGAGTATTTATTGCTTGACTTCTATGGAAAGATTCCGGAGGTGTGTGGTTTCTTGAGCTTCAGCCGACCTGAAGACTTCCCTTTACCATCTTCGGAACTGCTGTACAACATACAACATAGTATACGCCAACATTGATATCTGCTTCCCTAGCAGCACTCTTGGCAGGATATGGACCAATGTCTAACCAAGATTATGTGGTACTGGATCACATAGTCCAGTATCACTTAAAGCCCTCTAATCGTAGTCTCGCTTCGAAGACTTATGCAACTGGAGAAGGGAAACTATCTCACCTCCATAGCGAAATAAGCTTTAAAAGTGTATGGTCGCCTAAGCTTCAGCCGACCTGAAGGCTCAGGTCACTTCTCTATACCATATTCCAAACTGCTCTGTGGTATGATAACACTTGTATCTGCACATCCATAGCAGCTACACAAAAAGTCAAGCTGTACCTTGAAGTGGGTATCTATTGCTCAATTTCTATGGACATCTTCCGCAGGTATATGATTCCCTGAGCCTCAGCCGGTCTGAGGACTCAGGTCACTTTTCTTTACCATCTTCCAAGCTGTTGTGGTAGGTATAACAAGAGAACATAATATCTACTTCATTAGTCGCAGTAATCTTGGTAGGATATCAGCTGATGTCTAATCACGTTTATGTGCTACTGGATCACATAGTCAAGTAGCAATTAAAGGCCTCCTATCTTTTGCCTCACTTATGCAACTGGAGCACTTATGCAACTGGAAAAAGGAAACTACTCCACCTCTATAGCGAAATCTTCCAGAAATGTATTGTTGCCCAAGCTTCAACCGACCACGAATCTTGGCAGGATATCAGCCAATGTTTAACCAAGTTTATGTGCTACTGGATATCACATAGTCAAAGCCCTCAATATGTTTGTCTTGTTTTGAATACTGATGCAACTTGCAACAATCATATCCATAGCGGGCAGCGGCCATACTTAAGGTAAAACTGCGTACTTTAGAGTGAGTATCTATATTGCTCAAATTCTAAGATTCCTATAGAAAGCTTCTGCAAGTTTATGATTCCCTGAGCTTCAGCCGATCTGAAGACTCAGGTCACTTCACTACACCATCTTCTAAACTGTTGTGGTACAACAACATTCGTATATGCCAACATCAACATCAGCTTTCCTAGCACGAATCTTGGCAGGATATCGGCCAATGTGTAACCAAGATTATGTGCTACTGGATCACATAGTCAGGTAGCACTGAAAGCCCTCAAAATCATTTGTCTCGCTTTGAACCCTTACGCAACAGGAAAAAGGAACCTACACCCGACCTCCATAGCGAACGCTTCCAAAAGTGTATATTTTCCTTAGCTTCAGTCGATCTGAAGACTCAGGCCACTTTTCTTTACCATCTTCTAAACTCCTTTGGTAACACAACACTTGTATCTGTCAAAAAAATATCTGCTTCCCTAGTAGCACGAATCTTGGCAGGATATGTGTGCTACTGATACTGATGCAACTGGAAAAAGGAAACTAAACCACATCCATAGCGGCTATACGTAAGGTGAAGCTGTACCTCACAGTGAGTATCTATTGCTTAATTTATATGGAAAACTTCCACAGGTATATGATTTCCTCGAAACCTCAGCCGTTGTGAAGACTTAGGTCGATCCTCTATACCATCTTCTGAACTGCTGTGGTACAACGACATCCGTATATGTACAGGGTCGCTGATATGTATGGAAACAGGTAAATATCTCGGCAATCTGTTGTTAGATTTTTTTGAATTCATGTACAGTGTGATTTCAAAACGTGGCGGATTTGAAAATGTTATAGCCTCTGTTGCCACTTTTTCAGTTATTCCGGATTTTTAGTAACTTCCTTATTTTGAATGAAACACCCTGTACTTTATTGGATTCCCAGATTCTCCTTGAAAAGCTGATTCCATCGATCTATCACACTTGGGGTCGAGCGGGAATGATTACATAGGTATAGGGTGTTTAAAATCTAGGTTTTTCAACTTCAAGATTTTTTTGTGTAGAAACTATCCATTATCGATCAAAACCGCTTCAATGTTCCTATATTCACTTTTGATTTACCATCTACTGACTATTTAATTGGAACAGATACAGAGGGTGATCAGAATTCTGAATCTTGAACCACCCTGTGTTTGTTTCAATTAAATGTCAGTAGATAGTAAATCAGAAGTAAAGATGGGAACATTGAAGCGGTTTTGATCGATAATGAATAGTTTCGACACAAAAAAATACTAAAGTTGAAAAATCTAGATTTTAAACACCCTATACCTATGTATTCATTCCTGCTAGACCCCAAGTGTGATAGATCGATGGAATTAGCTCTTCAGGGAGAATCTGAAAATCCAATAAATTACAGGGTGTTCTATTCAAAATAAGGAAGTTAATAAAAAATCCGGTATAACTGAAAAAGTGGCAACATTGGCTACAACATTTTCAGATCTGCCACGTTCTGAAATCACACAGTACATAAATTCAAAAAAATCCAACAACAGGTTACCGAGATATTCACCTGTTTCCATACATATCAGCGACCCTGTATATGGCGTTCCTAGAAGCACGAATCTTGGCCAATATCTAACCAAGGTTATGGGCTAAGCCAGAGATAATATACCAAGTGGCACTCGATCAAAGCCCTCAAATCATTTGACTCATGCAACTGAAAAAATGAAGTTCTTCAAACACGTGTGGTTTCCAGAGCTTGAAGACATGAAAGCGAATGAGATAGCTGGCTATACAGAAGGTGCAGAGTCATTATTTGGTCTTGGAACTTCCTGTGGAACAAGCCAATATATCACTATAATGTCAGAGCTCAGGAAATAAAGAGGCCGAGAAGTCAACCTACTGGAGAACAACTCCAGACCAATGATATGCGAGAACGTTCATCAAGAGCTATTATACTGATCCTTAGCTTTACAAGATACCCTGTGAGGTACCACCTCAAAAATATGGGCCTAGTGGAGACTGATGGTACTTGCTGCTTTTGTAACAGTACCTATACTAGTCTGCCAAAGGTTAGATGAAGTATAGATCAGTTCTACCTGACGTCTCCTCCTCAAGCCTCGGAAATTGTGGGCATTATCAGATATTTAGAATCAGTTAATGGATCTTCTTAGTCGCAGTGATCTAGAAATGTCTCAGCCGCCACGACTCACTTACAATCTATCCAATCGATTGTCCTGATCAGAAGAGTGTGCATTATTTGAACAGGGGAGTCTAAAATACCTCATCTAGCTGATGAAGACGATAAGTTCAAGCAATTATATTACCTAGATAGAACCATCATCATTTCTAAAGCCAAAGGTTTGTGTGATAAAAAGATAACATCATGAGTGTCAAGATGATAAGTCATAAAGGAAAATCCAAGAGTCAGGCCTGCAGAAACAGCACTAGTCCTTTCTCAGTACAGTGTGTGAATTATTTGGACAGTAAGTCAACAAAATCTAATATAGGTATAACGATATTCCAGGTAGTTATCAATGGGTACTCTGAATGATACAAGGATTCTTGAAAGCATTGCAGGGTTTCTGTTGATTTTGTATTCAGAAATATGTCATAAACATATAGTTATAGGAACGTAGATCGTGGTTCAGATCTAGGTTTAGATCAAATATTAGAACATGATCAAACATTTATTTTCCAGATTATCATAATTATGCTCCATCCACTAAATTATTGATAATAATTATAACATAGAATCGAAGGTGGTAACCATTATTTTAAAAATCACTTCCCATCATACACATATGTATAATTAGAAAAAAATAGAATCATAACTTATTAGATCAATAATTCTCTTTGCGAATATAATTAGTATTATTATGTTTGTTTGAAATTATTATCGAGTAGAAAACACATGCTTTTCTCTGATTGAACGCAATTCGCTAGATTAATAGGGCATAATTATGATAATTATTTTCATTGGAATGATTTTTGAACTGGTATATAGGCAAATAAACATAGTGACTCATAGTGAAGTATTAGGTAACCGCGAATCAAGGATGAATTTGGTTACCAAATTGTGTAGTGTAAACAATGGGGACTAATTGATGCCAAGATGAAAGTGGCTCAGCGAGTGCCTCTCTAGGTAATGATTCAAATGACAATGACTCTTTTTGTCATCTTCATCTATCACTTCTGTCTCATTTGATGTATATCACAGAATCATGCAAATTGCTCTTTGTTGGTTGGCCTCGCGACCGAGCTCGCGACATGGTCAAGTTAGGTATACAGGGTGATTCACGGTGGATGACACATTAGACGTTTCTGGAGAACGTAGTAATCGACGTTGAATATTCTCAGCGCTGCGACGTTGCCGCTTATATTGAAAAGTACCTAACAACAACTTTGATTTTTAAAATGGGACATCCTGTATATCATTCCATTTTCAGATTCTCCCTGACGAGCTGATTTCATTGACCTATATTACTTGAGGTCTAGCGGGAGTGATAACGAAGATATAGGGTGTGAAAAATCGAAATTTTTCAACTTTGAGAATTTTCTGTGTCGAAACTAGTCATAATTGGTCAAAACGGTTTTCATGTCCCTATTAGAACTTTTCATGTACTATATTAATTGATATTGAATGGAAATAGGTGAAGGGTGGTCAAACTTCAATTGAAATAGATACAGGGTGGTCAAACATCTTAATTCTGAACTAACAGCTACATCGGAAATTTTGTATGAACATTTTCAAACTCGCTGCTCATTTCTATAATTTATTGCCTCAATTGCAACCAAACTTTTAAAAATCAAAATGTCAACTAATATCATGTCAAATAGCTGTTAGCCGTCATTTTGCTGCTATGGTAATGATCATCTGTATTTATCAAAACTAGAGTCCCTATATGTATTTGACAGTTTTGCTGTAATGAGAGTACGAAAACTATGACAAGCAGTGACATAATCCATAACCCTGAAAAATTTCAACCAATTTGGCGGAAGTGACAGTTCATGAACGTACATGACATTGAATTATTAGAAAATTCAGTTTTTCAAAAATTAAAAAGGCTAATTGTGTAGTTTTGAACTGCAAGAATGGAAGAGAATCATTTCACTTATTCCATTTCGTCCATGATGAACAACAGCTACAGAAATGGAAAAAGGAAGTACTCAATATTTGAATTTTTCGATTGGATTCGATGCATAATCGAAAGAATAATATTATTTCTAATTTCAATTTCAACATAATAGGTATAGGTGTACTTCAAAAGAGAAGATGTGATAGTAGAACATACCATTAAATTGAAAGAAAATGCTGAGCCTTCATTCTATCATCAAAAAGATCACCGAATACATTCTTTATCGAAATCTGAAAAATATGTAGAAGAAAAAATCCAAATAGGAAGCCAAGATCAGATTAACTGTGATTTAAATCGCAAGCAAGAAACTATCGAAGATTAAGAGAGAAAATAGGCAACCATTCCAAATTTATTGATAGAGAATGATGAGAAATACAGAAGAAAAATCAAAGGAAAAGGATGAACAGTTAAAAAATACCTTGAAACAAAAAGACTCTGAAACGAGACTGAAAGTAACGATAATTCACAGCTATTATAAGGAACTTATTTCAAATCTTGAACTATCTCATCAAAAAATCTTTGGTAGACTATGAGGAAACTGCGAATGCAAAAATGCAGTCGATTTTGACTGAAATCAAGACCCAAATTGATAGTTTCGTTATATATTTCAACCAAAATTATAGTCAACTTCAGTTATTACGCGAATCCATGAAATCGATGACAAATAAAAAGGTATTAAAGTCGCTATTTATGAGCAACATGATGATGATGAAGATCTTGCAACAACCTAGTTGAATTCAACGCCACCAAAACTCAAGCCCGTATTTTCTCTAGAAAGGCGGAACTCAGTATGCCCGATATTGTAATGTTTGGCCAAAGAATGTTCGGTATTTACATCACCAACACTCTTTCATGGGATAATCATGTCAGATCCATCGCAAAAGCTGCTTCACAAAAACTCTAATTCCGTGCGAAAAGCTACTTTACACCTCAACAGCTTCTCATGATCTACAAAGCGCAGATACGGCCTGTTCTAGAATACTGTTCCCACATATGGGGTTCAGCACCAAAACATACGCTGATGCTCTTAGATTCCATCCAGAGGAGAGCCATTCGCCTGGTGGGTGACGCCACACTCACTCACTCTTTGACATCATTGTAACACCGTAGAAAGGTCGGCGACCTTTCACTTTTCTATCGATACTTCCACGGAAAATGTTCTTCGGAAATCTCTGCTATCATCCCTTCACTAGCAATACCAGTCAGACGAACTAGACAAGCCCAGTCAGCACATCCTTTCGTTGTCAACCTCGAAAGATGTCGAACAGCACTTTATCAAAACTCCTTCATCCATAGAACGGCTAGGCTCTGGAATTCATTGCCAGGGGAAGTATTCCCAACAACATATAATCTCCAGAAGTTCAAAAAAAAAATCCAATACCTACCTTCTGTCCCTATCCTCCCTAGGAAGGCACGATGTTCTTATTGTCACGAGTGGCTCTAACGCCCACTATCGCAACTCGAACTTACTCGCTTGCAAGAGGTTTTTTTGAAAATGATAACTAAATAATTTAACTCCACTTCACAAGTTTATTCATTTTGAATAAAAACAATTAGGGCATGAAATAAATTGAACATTAATTATCCAGCAAGATACATCCAACTCAAATCGAAGCAAAACAGGAAAACTAAAACTAGTAATACTCAAAAAAGGTATACTTACAGAAGGGCTCGCTTTTCGTTGGAGGATTGGGACTGCCACTCACGAAGTTTAGACATGATGCAAAGTTTGAGATTTACTTTCTATTAGAATATTTGAAAAGACTTTACGGTCCACTGTCCGAACCACAACTGCCGGTTTTTTCTCTAATACTTTTTCATCTTGGTTTTGGTAGTGGTAATTGATTCAGCATAAAAACTAGTGCATGTATTCACCTCGATTAGGAAAAATTCAGAACCAGCAGTTTCTGCCCGTCAGCGACTCTACTTGTATAATAATAAAATTGAAATCCGAACTTTAATTTCCTTTGAATATCGTAATTCTCTACTGATATTCTGTAAGCTAAATAATTATAAGAATATGATCTAGACTAGGTTATTGTACTGTTCTTGAATGAAATGAGAATTTCAAATATTCTCAATAAAATTATAGTTTTTATCCATTCTTGACATTATAAGCATATGTCTTTGTTCAAGTAAAACTTACTTCAAAGTCATTTTGAGAATTTGGGGTTATGCCTTCTGTCATTGCTTGTCATAGGGTTCGTACTCTTATTACAGCAAACCTGTCAAATACATACAGGAACTCTAATCAATCTATTATATCTACTAAAATTTTTATAGTTACAGTAACAACAAAGATGTGATACTTACCGGCCTAGTCCGGGAAGTATATCCCAGATAACACAAGTACATCTTATAGATATACTATGGATATCCATCATGAATATTGTGGATGTCCATGAGATATCCGAAAAAGGGTCTGGTATATCCTATGGACGTCCATAGGATGTGACAGTGTGACCTTTTTGGATGTCTCAAAGATATTCATTATGGATATCCATGAGATATCAACTATGGATATGGATGAGAGATAGTATACCCTATATATAGAAAAAATCACAAAAATTGGGAAGCACTCACGTCTCACTGCGTTCGAATAATGTAGTTGTCAGTTCTTATGCATCATCAATTTTGGACGAATTCGTAGGAATCACTTCCAAATTCACTTCAAATTAATTAAATATGAGAACAGAGTGACATTATTTGACTATTCCAAGGTTGGTAGAATCGATGATCTATTAATAATCATCAGTTCTAACAATCTTGGACTATTTGAGACGTTACGCCACCTGGCGCTGTTTTTGAAAACCGAATTAATAATAATGGCAGATAGTGCATCACAATGTGTGCTTTCTTTTGGAAGACCCAAGCACAAGTGTTACTTTTGTGGATCTCCTTTCATTTATTTATCATTTCATTCATTGTCTATACTTGATTTGAAATTTCTAGGTATTGATCTATTGTCTCTGTATCTCATGGATATCCTATGGACGTATTCAGGACGTTTGTTTCGGATATGTCCACATATATCCCGCCTTGAATAGGAGTTGAAATGGATATCCATGAGATTATGAGATATCCTGTGTTAACTGGGTAGGTACTTCCCGGACTAGGCCAGAAAATGCTCCTTTCTCCGAGAAAAAGCTTCAGGGAAGTGAGGACTTCCCGGACGGTTGCGGAAAAAATTATTTTTTCTGCAACCGACACAAAAGTCGTCCATTTTGATACCAAAATTAGCTCTTAAATTGACGTTTCTATTACTGACACAAAAATGGGTATGTTGCTAGGCAACATATTTAGTTCCTAGGAGCTAAAGTTGAATTTTAGTTCCTAGGAGCTAAAGTTGAACTTTAGCTCCTAGGAACTAAAAAGGATCTACTGGACATCATCAAGAATAAACAACATTGTGACTGTTGGTTATTTGGGTTGAGACGCATACCTGATTTGTTTCCTATTTCAGCAGATTTGGCATTTCATACCCATGCTGGAGATATAAATACACCTTATTATAGTTTAGTATTGGAATTATAAACATCTCAGCTGAGTATTTTTGTTATGATCAGAGGGAAGCCTTCAAGATTCAAATACTTGGTTGATTTGTATTTCATTCTTTATTCTCGGGATGGATAACTTGTTTTTGAATAATCACTGCAAGCAATAGTTTTTCTGTCTCAAACAACGATATTGTTTAGCTTCATTTGATTATCAATAAGTCAAAGACAGTGTAGTATGGAGAGGAATAAATAATCACTATTATCATTGTTGACACAGATGCTCACTAACCTGACATTTTCCACGTCTTGTTCCTATAGCTGGCACTGGCGCGGTATTTGCCATTAGAGCACCTGGTCCATGCACAAATATGTCACTCTGTGGTTGTATTTATATTGGAACTACAATTCGAACATCCTAGAAAACCTAACCTGCTGTTAATGTAGGTATAGAATATTCTCACCACATGGATTATTTGTCAATATTTGTTGCATTGCATACATATGAATGGCACAGCATTGGTGGTTACTTCACATGTTCATTTGAGTTAATTAATTGTTTCGGTTGCAGAAAAAATAGCATGTTTCATTCGGATCAAAAGTGACATTGTTCGACTCGCAAATTTTGCTTTCGCTCGGCTTCGCTAAACGCTCCGCCTCGCAAATGCAAAATTCGCTTGTCAATCAAAGTGTCACTTTTGATCCTAATAAAACAATCTACTATTTACTCTTCAATTCTTTCAGCGAACGTCTATGGCAAGATATTCGGGACCGGCGTTCCATTCGAGAAAAACGGCAAAACCCACTACAAAATCGAAGATTCGAAGATCGACATAGACATCGGCGGCGCCCATCTCTACTTTGACCGCATCTTCGGCGACAACGAGGAACTCAACGAGCAAACCAACAAAGTCATCAACGAGAACATCAAGGATCTGATCGGCGAATTGAAGCCGGTGGTAATACAAGTCATAAGAGGGTTCGTGCTGGGCATTTGCAATCGATTGTTCGATAGATACACTTTCGATGAACTGTTTCCGAACGCTTGAAGGAACAATTTAGAGAATATAGGCCAAAAATTTTCATTCTGTAAATGTAATATAGTGATTTTCCAAGTTTTCTTCATGTAGTTTTCATGATTATTGGTTACACATTTTATTGTACAGGGTGATTAGTTAATGGTAGCGAGCGGCCATATATCTCATAACCCTAACAACACCAGTACATCCTAGGGACTTCCCAGGGACGTCCCTGATTTTATACTAGGACAACCCGGGGATGTCCTTTGTCGGGACAACGTACATACTAGGGATGTCCCAGGGATATCCCAGGGACATCCCTTCGACAAAAGAAAAAAATGTAGGTCGAATAGGGATAGAACTCGGGACCTTTAGCTTATCAGGCACGCACCTTACTCCATTGGCTATTATGCCTCCTGATGATTCATGTACTAAACAGATTTATAAACAGGACTTGACTACAGAAACCTGAATAAATACATTTTTGTTAGGATTTGGGTATGATTATTATCATTCTTGGGTGTTTAAAAATGAGGGGCATTATGCATGTACGATTTCTGTTTGCGAAAAATGATCATTTCTTGAGAAGTTCTGAGACTTCATTCTTCATTTTCAATATAATTATTTTCCGGAAGAAAAACAAACATTTTCAAAAAAATTCAACTCAATAGTTTGATGAAAATTCAATGACTCTGATGTGAATAGATATCAGATAATCCAGGGACACGAATAGGATAAACTAGGGATGTACCTGGCGGGATGTCCACTGGACAACCTCTGCGGGACATCCCCTGGATGCCCCAATCATGTCCTTGTACTGCGGGACAAAAAAGGGACGTACCTAGGACATCCCTGTGTTGTTAGGGAAGATATTGGTCGTAAAGATTTCAGAAAAAAAAATCATGATAAAAGTCGCCAAGTGAAATTGCTGGAAATCATTTTCGAGTTTGTCAAACGTCCGGTAGAGGGCGTAACAACCAACACCAAGTAGAAAAATGGGATTTTTATAGAATTTTGTCCAATGAAAGTATATCGATGATATCATTTTCATATTTACTGACCATTTCCCTACATTCTTTGTGAAAAACGTTTTGTTCTGTCTATAAAAATAAAGCGGTGGGGGAAGTTCAATTGTTTTTTGAACAAACCAAGATTTCGCCCGTTTATTTCGACCGATTTCAGCAGACTTAGGCTCATATGGAAGAGCATAAGTCGCCCTACAAAATGCTTATTTGGTTTTGGATTCTTGGCCTCTGCTGTCGCCGCAACGAAATAAGCGTTTTGTAGAGCAAATTATGCTCTTTCATATGAGCCTAAGATTGTCAAAATCGGTCGAAATAAACGGGAGAAATCTTGGTTTGTTAAAAAAAACAATTGAACTTTCCCCACCGTTTCATTTTGATAGATAGAACAAAACGTTTCAGACAAAAAATTTAGGAAAATGGTCAGTTAATATGAAAATGATATCAACGATATACTTCCATTTGACAAAATTCTATAAAAATCCCATTTTTCTACTTGGTGTTGGTTGAAACATACGGGATAAATCGAAATTTTATCATAGCTTTCGATTGATTCTGAATGTTATAGTTTTATAGGATATCGAAACTATAAGAAACGATGGTTCAATATTCAGTATTCTGATCACCCTGAATCTGTTCCAATTATTAAATATCAGTAGATAGTGAATCAGAAGTTGAGATAGGGATATCAAATCCGTTTTGACCGATAATGAATAGTTTCGACATAAAAAAATCCTAAAGGTAAAAAATCTCGATGTTGAACACCCTATATCTCTCTAATCATTCCCGCTAGACCCCAAATGTGATACAATGATGAAAGCAGCTCTTCAGGGAGAACCAAAAAATCCGATGGAACATAGAGGGTGTTCTATTTGAAAATCGAAAGTTGATGCCCGTTACGCTCCAAGGTTTCAACTTTGGAATATGATAATTGGAGAAAAATGTGGTCCCTGCCAAATTGAAATCGACCTGTTCGAGCGAATTTCAATTTTTTTAACGACATCGGTGATTTGGGGGGTGTCAAGTTTTAGCTGGGACACACTATATCCCTAATAACACAATTATGTCCCATGGATATCCTTAGGACATCCTGTGGGACATTCAGGACGTCCATAGGACGTTCGAATTTGGTACCGTGGACGTCCATTGGACGTCTGTGGGACGCACAACTGTCCTACTTGAGGACCAACTAGGGATGTCCTTGAGGGATGTCCCTGGGACAACTATCGTATACCTGAATCCTACAGTATTCCTCATCAAGCACTACGGAGGATATCCTTAGGACATCCGTAGGACAACTTATCAGGGATATCAATTGGATGTCCATAGGATGTCCCAGGGACGTACGAATTATTCTCGAATTTGAATTTTTCTGGGTCCCTCTAGGACCAGATCTTGCATGAGGACATCCAATTCCGTGGACCTCGCAGGGACTACATATTGAAAGTACCGACTGGGACGACCATAGGACGTTATTTCTAGGACATTGGAAGAGTACAGTTCATATACCAATAAGGACGTCCGACGGATATCCCTAAGGGACATTCGAAGGATGCTAAAATGTGTAATTTTTCAAAAACCGAAAATTGGGTGAATCGAAAATTGCTGGCCCCTGTCCGGCCCTGGACATCCAGGAAAATCGTTCCGATTAGTACATGCCTTCCATGGTTATCCTAAATCAACATACTGGAAAAGTGTTAAGGCAGAATGCGTAACGAAAAAGATTAAAAATATTGTTAAAGTTCAACTTTTTAGCTCCTAGGAACTAAAATTCAACTTTAGCTGCTAGGAACTAAATATGTTGCCTAGCAACATACCTATTTTTGTGTCAGTAATAGAAACGTCAATTTAAGAGCTAATTTTGGCATCAAAATGGACGACTTTTGTGTCGGTTGCAGAAAAAAGTACTTTTCCTAGGAGTTAATTTGTTCAGTAAGAGTCTTAATCAGTTTGATACTGTTGAAAGCCACATAAATTGCTATGACCACATTTCTTCTTTGGCATGTATATAGTGTCCGGCATACTGCCATGCTAGTAGGTATATCTACACTCTCGCGTCCAATAATTACCATAATGTTGTCGAGAAAGTTTTATTCACTGCCATTAGGAAAAGAAAAAACTCGATCTTCTGTATATTATAGTTTTACCTCATCTCATTTGTACCTTTTAAACGGGAAGAGTAGTGATGGGTGTCCACAGTTTAGAAAAATTGTGTTGGTTTTTTGGAGCGATCCTCGTTTTGAATCAGGAATCCGGTAAGTTGGTCTTATCACAATGATAATATCATTATAAATAATGTCACCAATAATATTGATGCATTTCACAAAATATATAAAACAAAAAAAAATTCAGCAGATTCAATGAATTTTTTGCCAAAGTATTCCCAAGAACTTGTAATACCCAAAAAATTCAAAAACCAAAATCCAAAACTTTCCTCCTCTAGTACGCTCCAAGTAATAAAAAATATCTGAGTGTCATATCCACATTATAATATTGTTGTTACTTTTCAACTATAAATATATACAGTGTGACCCATTTAAGATGGAAGCACCCTTATAAAACTTACATTTTTCAACCGATTGGAATGATTTTTTTTTGATAGGTAGATATTCAAAAAGTCTATTAGGACACCAAATATCATGAATAAATCTCCATTTCCAGGGCCAACTAATCTGATTTTTCAAGGTCAAAAATCTAAAAAAATTACTAGCGATTTTTTTAGAAAAAATCTGATTACACCACTGGATTTGTGACATTTTCAAATGGGTAACATGTAAATTACGTTGAAATGCGTCAATCAATAAAAAAGTTATAAAGGAATGAAATTTGAAAAATATGCCGTTTATCAACCCACCAATTCATGTTCAGGAATTTCATGAAAATTCTGTATACTCCACTGGATTCAGGATGTCTTGAAATATTACTGATCACAGTTTCATCGAAATATGTTCAGTAATAAAAATTGATGGGTTGATTGAACGGCATATTTTTCAAATTTCATTCCTTTATAACTTTTTTATTGATTGACGCATTTCAACGTAATTTACATGTTACCCATTTGAAAATGAAAAAAATCGCTAGTAATTTTTTTAGATTTTTGACCTTGAAAAATCATATTAGTTGGCCCTGGAAATGGAGATTTATTCATGATATTTGGTGTCCTAATAGACTTTTTTTATATCTACCTAACAAAAAAAAAATAATTCCAATCGGTTGAAAAATGTAAGTTTTATAAGGGTGCTTCCATCTTAAATGGGTCACACTGTATATACAGGGTGACATAGAAGTACATTGCATAGTGCCACACAATAGAGGATACTAAAATAAGAAAAAAAGTTCCTATGAACATGGGTCCGCAAGGCCTTCGGTTGAAAGATACGGGGTGTTGAATTTAATTTTTTTTTTGGGGTTTTCTTCGAATATCTTTAGCCAGAGACGCAAGAAATGGATGAAATGTGGTATACAGGGGTTTTTTATCGTGCTAAATTCAAATATGATCTTAGTTTCGTGATGACTGATAGAGGGCGCTACATACAGGGTTCCATCCCTATTGAATCGGTCGTAACTTTTTTGCTATACACTGTATGTCATTTTCGACGGAAAAAAATTGTTATTCCTTCCTTTATACTTGAGAAAGGTATACCTTGTCCAAGTCATTAGAAGCAATGGTTCCAGTACAAATGCATCTAAAAGCCGACAATGCACGCAAATTATTCAAAAAGCGCCAAAGTAACTTTTGCAAAAACAATGATAAATACTTCAACAATTACATTTTAATGGTATGATGAAAAATATGATTAATTAGAACAAAACATTAAGTTTTTAGAAGATGTTCAAATTGTTGCCCTTGTATGTACTTCAATACATTTTTCCATTAAAATTCAACACCCCGTATCTTTTAACTGAAGGCCTTGCGGTCCCATGTTCATAGGAACTTTTTTCCTCATTTTAGTGTCCTCTATTGTATGGCACTATGCAATGTACTTTTTTCTATGTCACCCTGTATATGAATAATATCTTACTCATTATTGATTCAAGTCAAGAGCAATAGTTGAAAATATTCTGCTGTAATAATATATAAGTACCTCTGTTCTGATAAACACATTTTGTTGATTGAAATGACCATGTTTCGAATTGATGAAATTAAATGTTCAGTTCTAAAGAAAGTTAATTTGTTATAATGACAATATATTCAATATAACAAAATATCATTTTCATTCAATGACTAGTTCCATTTTGTCAATAAAACTCAATTTAGATTTGAAAAATTATTTTGTTGATGTGGATTATCTCAACTTAATTTTCCAAAAGAGTCTCAGAGCTAACAGAAATTGGAAAAACAGCAAATTCAAGACTATTATGTCTTGCAAACGGCATCAGATGTTCTAGGATATATGATAATAATATATAATGATCAACAAGATATTTGATTGATATAATGTATCTGTTGGTTTTGGTTCTGTTCAGATAAATGATCTTTTATAACATTTCCTAGATAATTAAACAAATATCATATATACACATAGATCTCGGATAGAAATTATTTGTATTTAGTCTAACTAACAAATTGTTGAAAAAGTGTAAATGATATTGAATTCAAACAAATTCAAATCAACATCGAAAAATTAGTTGTTCAACTGCCAGATTCAAATTGAACTTTCACCTTGCATTGAAACAAAGCTTTAGTTTTCTATAGGGTTTCTTGATAATGCAAAGACATTTTTTCTATAAATTTTGTTGAATAAAATAGAATTGTGATTGATGAAATAAAATTTTGTTGAATTAAGTATGATTGTCCTCAAGTATGGGAATATTAAAATTGATATTATATTTTATTCATTTGAATGAGATGCTCACTTGAAATGAATAATATAAATTTTATTGATATATCGAAGACTGGAACCTTTGGCACGATAATACACTACACTGTTTTACCACTAACCAAACCGATTTTTTAACGCCTCGACACGTGTTTCGCTAACTATGTTAGCATCTTCAGGAGAAGATTAAAACAGTTTTAATCTTCTCCTGAAGATGCTAACATAGTTAGCGAAACACGTGTCGAGGCGTTAAAAAATCGGTTTGGTTAGTGGTAAAACAGTGTAGTGTAAATTTTATTGAGCTATGCGAAAATATATTCAATTCAACAACAAACAACGAAACATTTACGGAAATAATTGTGTTGGTGCAACTAATCAATTTTTTGGTGTGGCGAGTACAAAATTAGTTCGTATTCAAATACCAACTTGTGATACATCCTCGATTGCAGAAAATGCTCAAATCAACGAAGCAGAAAATATCATTCCATTAAAAAAATAAAACTTGTTTATATTTTTTGTTGGAGTTAACAAAATAGAAAATAGCACTACACCTTTTTCAATTGTAATTCAGAAAGTATAAGATGTAATTCAGAAAGTATAAGTTGTCATTCAGAATAGTTAATTGTATTTCAGAAAGTATAACTTGAAATTCAGATTAGTTAATTGTAATTCAGAAAGCGTAATATGTAATTCAGATTAGTGAAATGTAATTCAGAAAGTGTAACTTGTAATTCAGAATAGTGAAATGTAATTCAGATACCGTCAATTGTAATTCAGAAAGCATAACTTGTAATTCAGAAACTATGAACAACCCGTATGCATCCATTCTCCTTGAGTCTTTAACGTAAATCGAGTTACCAACAAGCAGAGCCATGTTGTCATAGAAAGTAACTCGAAATATCAAATAAATATCGAATAAATTGCACAACACACCACCATTCACCATGCTGCAGCTCTGGTATTTCAAGATATGCCCGTTGGTCGATAAATATAAGATGTTCACCACACAATGAACTCGTTGATTTCTATTCCCTACCCTTATTTAAGTCCATAGGATTTATGAATTACAAGTGATGCTTTCTGAATTACAAATTACGCTTTATGAATTACAATTGACTATTCTGAATTACATTTCACTAATCTGAATTACATGTTATGCATTCTGAATTACAATTGACTAATCTGAATTACAATTGACGCTTTCTGAATTACAATCAACTATTCTGAATTACAAGTTACACTTCCTGAATTACATTTTACTAATCTGAATTACAAGTTACACTTTCTGAATTACAATTGAAAAAGGTGTAGTTGTTGAAACATAGTTTCTCAAACATATAATAATAGTGATTTTTTTTTTTCTGAGTTAATTATCAAAAATTGTGACTCAACAAACAATTGCATTGTAGAAGAAAATGCTCAATTTCAAATGGGAATTTTTCAGAATTCAAAATTTTTATCTTGAAATAGCTCAAAAAAACTAAGGCACCAAGATATAATCGACAACTGCCTACCGCATGGAAATTTGAACAGAGGTGACGTTAGATTTGCTGCAGTCTAGAACTTTGGGTGGAAAAAGGGGTCTAACCTCAAATTTTATTTTCATCCCTAAATTTTTTCATTAGTGCCATTCGATAGTGCACGTCGAGCTTTCTCAGTGTTTGAAATATTTGCACTTATTTCAATGCCACCCTATATATATCTGACCTGTCCTGGAATACTGTTCCCATATTTGGAGTGCAGCACCCAAACATACCCTGAAACTGTTGGATTCAGTCCAAAAAAGGGCAATTCGTCTCGTGGGTGATGCCTCGCTCACAAACTCACTCGCCTCTCTGGAACACCGTAGAAGAGTTGGCGATCTGGCTCTATTTTATAGATATTTTCATGGAAGATGCTCTTCTGAAATATCAACAATTGTTCCTACCTTGGCATTCCCCGCTAGATTAACCCGTCGAGTTGAGCCTTCGCACCTCTTCGTGGTCACTTCGGAGACCTGCAGAAGACTCGTTCATCCAACGAACAGCGAGGCTCTGGAACACATTGCCAAGAGAGGTGTTCCTCGAGGCATATAACCTCCAGAAATTTAAGAAGAACACAATTTCCTACCTTATTTCCTTTGGTTCTCACGATGTTCTCTGAACATTACAGGATATCCCTTTTCGTATAGGAACCAGAACATGAAAAAATAGTTATTTTTGTATCTAGAGCGCGAAATGCTACTTTGGTGATCGAGATCTGATTTTTTTAACGAGGCGTAGCCGAGTTAAAAAAATAGTCGAGATGACCAAAGTATTTCGCGCTCGAGTTGCAAACAAAATTTTTTCTACAAACGTCAAAAAATATAGTTCTAAAGTGAAAATATGCTTAGCTTGATATAAAAAATAGTGTTGAACTGGCTTAAAAGGTCTCTCCCTATCCTCTTTAGGTACGCACGATGTTCCACGAACATAGTAGGAATTTCCTTTCGTGCGCTCCAAGAGAAAAAACAAAGTTATTGTTGAACAATCAGAAATAAATGATTTTGTGGATGTCTGCTCGATTGAGGACCATGAAGTTGAAATATAAATATCTCATATATTTTACATAACAATGCGCGAAGTAGGTACTTCGCGCACTGTTTTACTTCGCGCATTGTTTTGTGCAAGGAATTATAGTAACGTAGGAAACTGAAAAAAAAGTGTCACTTCGCAATTTGTTATCAATGCGCGAACCTTGTCATTTTTTGACGTTTGTAGAAAAAAATACTTTGAATTTTTCAACAGTAGGTACTACGATAACATTTGTTAAGCTATTGGTATATTCAAGCTAAACGTTCATTTCGCTATCTGTTCAACATTATTTATTTAGATATGGCTATATGCTTGGGTATTTGTCAAGTGAAAGTCGTTGCTGGAGCATACTTTTGATGTTTTAATCGTTTACAATAAATACCTATATAGATATATCTAGATATTCCGTTATAAAAAGTGTCTCTTGTCAATCAATTCGCCATCGCACGTTTTGTTTTCACTTCTTCAAAAATAAAAGTGCCTCCATCAATTTTATTGGTGACATCGATTCCGGGTGATCCAGGTCATTTACAATATCAGATTCATTCTTGTTCATGTTATAATAGTCCAAGATCTTGCTGCAAATTTCGACCGTCATCTGATAACGAAATGATATACAGGGTGTATCTAAATAACAACGAAAAAGTAAGTAAGGAAACACCCCTTCAATTTTTTCGGTGTTATTTGAATACACCCTGTATGTCCCAAAGGCATGTGAACATATTGCATTTTATGTGCCAATCACTTTCCTGAGCAGATTATGCCCAAAGCCTGAACGATGAAATCGGCAAACAGCCAACTTGATGACAAGCGAGAAGAATAGTTTGTGAAACCGCCACGGGTAGCGCTGCTCTTCATTCTCAGCAGGCACAAAGTGCAGAGTTGCCGGTTGGCAGGAAAATTATCTAACTCCAAGATTTCTTCATAATTTTCTCACTACGAGAAAATCTGCTATATACAAAAAGAAGTGTATAATAGGAGTGGTTGAATTAGTAACGTTGTTATTAAGAACTTTTCTAACCACCCCAGATTTTCCACTATTGATATTTGGTATAAGAACAACATTTATCAATGTGGTTAGTTTTCTACAGTTCCAATCAGTCGGATAAATAAAGCTGTGAAGTTAGTCATTCATCTACTATTTCATTGATTATTGCCATATTTCTGTCTTTTCAACGTCTATTCAACCTAACAATTGATATACTCCACAAGCAATTGGTTGATACTAAGTCTCAAGTCTGACATCGAGGTAGATTGCTCTTGGGACTGAAATAATTTCAGCTCATAGTAATTAATTCGTTATTTCAGATCGATCAGATGAATAATAAGTAATGTGATCTTGATTCACATAAATGCATACAAAATATGAAGGTATACCAGCACAATGAAAGAGTGCAATATACGTATACGTATTACCTAAGTCGTCGCCTGCTTTAAATGATCTCTCATAGATCAGTAATTGTTATTTCTAGTTGGTGAAATGAAAAAAGTCAGATGTCTGGAAAACGGACGATTCTACAGGGATCCAGGCAGACCAGCTCATAAAATGTGGACTCCAGATGAATGTTCCAAATACTTCCTTTGCTTGGAAGGCGAAGTATTTGATTTTCGATGTTCCTCAGATCTACTATTCGATGTTGATCGACAGATTTGCGATTTCAAATTGAACGTGGACAATTGCGACCTAACAGCAGGTATTTAGAAGTAATCCATCTTGTTGATTTCTGACCAAACCTCAAAATTATTTGCAATATTAATTAAGAACTCAAAAACACTGATACTATAGTACCTTTTGAACCTACTAACTTCATACTTAGATCAGCGAACCCAATTTGTCGTGATTAATGGTGTCAAGTCAAAGTGTGACCGTGTTACGTCAGGTGTCCAACAAGGATCACATTTGGGGCCGCTTCTAGTCAATATTTTTATCAATGATCTGTCAGGTTGTTTTCATAATACAAAGCATACCCTCTTCGCGGATGACCTAAAAATCTACAAGAACATTGAAAGTCCCAGTGACTACTCAGGTTTTCAATCAGATCTGGATAGATTCTCAGACTATCGCTCACGTAACAGACTCCATCTCAACCTCTCGAATTGTTATCAAATTGAGCTTTCTCGTAGTAACAAACACATTATATGTATACACGACTTGAAATTGAAAGACCAAATCATCGGAAGAACTGATAGTATGAAAGATCTAGGAATAACCTTATAGATAACAAATTAACTTTTGAGCAACACATCGAACAAATAACACAAAAGTCACTTAGGAACATAGGATTCATATTCAGGGTCACCAATGACTTCAATTGTTGGAAATCTGTTACTCTTCTGTTCAATTGCATTGTGAAACCTATTATCGAATAATCATTTATTATATGGAATCCATTCCATAACTGTTATATTGATAGACTGGAAAATGTACAAAAACATATTCATAAATAGACTGAACTTTAGATTCAACAAGAACAGATACCATAAATCATATGAAAACAACTTGAAATTTTATAGGCTGGAAAATTTGGAAATGATAAGAAAATTTTTTGATGTATGTTTCATATATAAATTATTCACTAACCTAACAGATTACCCATACTGCTTAGAACTATGCTACCTCAATAGCTCGCAACACAACAGGTTCAAACATGTAGTCAAACAAGTCCTGTACAATTAGTCTTTCTTAATTAGTTAAATACAGAATACATTGCCAAATAGTGATAACATTGTCAAACCTTGTACTGTTAGTTACTAAGAACAAATACTTATCTTAAGCATTCTATAAGTATAGAAAATATACCCAGTTCTATATGATAAATTGTATGTAATAATATGCCACTCTATTATTGGGCAGTGCAACACCTGCCTGTTGGTTGACTTCAAATTAATAACTAAATAAATAAATGAATGATTTATTGAAAAATTTTCTAGAGACTGTTATTCCCAAACCACTTTTAGACAGAGCAGATTGCCCTGAGGGATATCTAGGTTGCGCAGACAGTACCTGTTTGCCACAAGAGTACTTTTGCGATGGTTCTTCTGACTGCCAAGATGGTAGTGACGAGGCTGGTTGCAATTTATTGGAAGATCCCAATGGGGCTAGCCCATGTGACCCGAAAACATGCGTATTGCCAGATTGTTTCTGTTCCAGCGATGGTAAGATTATTTTTCGGTAACCTTCCGGAAAATACCCAAGTAGCACTTTTCTGACCTAGCGCGGGAAGTGAGTTTTTTCAGAGTTAGGCCGTGAACAACTATACATCGTTCTCAATCTCAATAAATATACAGTGTGTGCGATTTCAACCCGCAACCCCCTTTTGATTTGGAACCCGTCGACTGATTTACAAAAATTCCATAATATAGTACTCAACGAGCTTTATTATTGAGAATGTGAACAAATTTGAAATATTCGAGTTTTCAAGGCCTACCTTTGTTTATTGAAGGGGTCAAAATTTCAAAAACGACTATCAGGCAATTGTTTATCGAAACAGTGACAAAACCTATTCGATTCAGGTATAGCTGAAAAAATCATATTCGAAATTTGAACGCAGAATCTTCTATAGGGTGTTAGTTATTCAGTGACAAATTTTGATGAAATATTGATTTTTCCATTCACCCTGTGTCAAAAGATCTAAGGAGTTTATATAACCGGTGAAGTAGTCATTCAATGAAGGAACACATCGGATACTCAGATACGAAGTTCCATCGTTGTGACTTCTACAAGAAGATCTCTCTTGGTTAACCAAAAATTGATGAAATTTAAGTTGAAAAATTTTTCATTATGATCCATATCTTTTTACCTGGAAATATAAACAATAGTAGCTGATTCGAGTAAATAGTCTATATACATAACAATTTTCATTGTCATCTCAAATTTCCCTTCTATTTCGCCAAAATAGGTATATTATTTTGATCACATCAAGTATCAGTAAATCTCCTTGCCTATATCTGTCTTTGTAGAATGTTTGTCATTGTTCTCAACACACCAAATGGACCACTCATAATTTGACTCTATTTCGAAGACCTGTATTTTTTTTAAAAATTGACCGATCTTCATGCGGTTTTCGATATCAGATGTGATGTTTCATCGGCTTCGAAGAGAGCTAGAACAATCTGAAAAAGTCCGCAAAACAAAACTTACACAGGGTGTAAAGTGGAACCATTACACTATGGTCGACATTTCCAATGCTGCCAGAACTCGAGGAATTTTTTTCTGATCAAAAGTCAGTTATATTATGATACACTGGGACCTTATCTCGGGACGTTTTCGTAATTGCTCCTTAATTGGCCATTGGAACAAAAATTCGATTTTTTTTCGAAAGTCTTGCATTTCTTGATTTTTTTCTCTAGAACTCCACTTGAGCTGACTATTGGGAAGAACTATTCTCATGTTTTATGGAGGATAATGAAAGACGAAAAAAGCACTTTTTTGGAATATACTGGATGATCAGAAAATAGGACAAAATCTCATTTCAGTGAAAAAAATCAAAAATGGTGACTGAAACTATGGCCCATTCGATCCAGTATATTCAGAAACGGCCTTCTCGATATCCATTATTTATATTAGACTACTAACTCGAGATGTTTTCGAAAATTCGCCTCTAAATGAAATACAGGATGACATATTTCAATTGAAACTTGTTTCCTGATATCGATGATTTTCAATATCTATTGCCCAAGTATGAGAAACGGAGGATTGTTGTTCAATATACTGAGTGTTTTACAACTTATCTGACAAATTTCAACCACAACTTACATAAGAAGTCTATCACAAAAAAATTCAATAGAAGTGAAACGAGATGGAAAATAAAATTTGCAACACTTTATATCAACCAAAACTATTCGAAAAGGGTGATAAGAAAATAGGACAATACAGGGTGAAAATGTTCAATTCAAACTTGTTTCCTGATATCGATGATTCTCATCATTTTATCAACGGATTTCCAATATCAATTGCCCAAGTATGAGGCACAGAGCATTGTTGTTCAATATACTGAGTGTTCCACAACTTATCTGACAAATTACGAACTCTAGAAAACAATAATGTTAGAAGAATGTGGTGACCAGCATTATCTCCAGATCTGAATTTGATTGAACATGTGTGCAGCCGAATAAAACTTAACCTATCGAGAAGGTGAGGCACCCCAAAATAATGACAACCTTATCCAGAATGGGCGGCAATATCAATAGACTTCATCAACAACGGGGAGGAATCGGGGAGGCCTACCAAGTACTGCAATTCAGGATATAGGACTTTCTAGTTGGATCTTCATAATGCTGAAGAATTCGATAATGTCATATTTCGCCAATAGAGCCCTTTTCGAATAGTTTTAGTGGATATAAAGTGTTACAAATTTTATTTTCCATCTCGTTCTCTTCTATGAATTTTTTTTTGTGATAGACTTCCTATGTAATATCGTAGTTGTGGTTGAAATTTGTCAGATAAGTTGTAGAACACTCAGTACATTGAACAACAATACTCTGTGTCTCATACTTGGGCAATAAATATTGGAAACCATCAATATCAGGAAACAAGTTTGAATTGGGAATTTTCATCCTGTATTTCATTTAGAGATGAATTTTCGAAAACATCTCGAGTTAGTAGTCTAATATAAATAATGGAAATCGAGAAGGCCGTTTCTGAATATACTGGATCGAATGGGCCATAGTTTTAGTCACCATTTTTGATTTTTTTCACTGAAATGAGATTTTGTCCTAGTTTCTTATCATCCTGTATAATTCAAAAAAGTGCTTTTTCCGTCTTTCATTATCCTCCATAAAACATGAGAATAGTTCTTCCCAATAGTCAGCTCAAGTTGAGTTCTAGAGAAAAAAATCAAGAAATGCAAGACTTCGAAAAAAAATCGAATTTTTGTTCCAATGGCCAATTAAGGAAAAATCACGAAAATGTCCCGAGATGAGGTCCCAGTGTATCATAATATGACTGACTTTTGATCAGAAAAAAATTTCTCGAGTTCTGGCAGCATTGGAAATGTAGACCATAGTGTAATGGTTCCACTTTACACCCTGTGTAAGTTCTGTTCTGCGGACTTTTTCAGAGTGTTCTAGCTCTCTTTGAAGCCGATGGAATATCACATCTGATATCGAAAACCGCATGAAGATAGGTCAATTTTTTAAAAAAATACAGGTCTTCGAAATTGAGTCAAATTATGAGTGGTCCATTTAGTGTGTTGAGAACTGTATTTGTATTATATTCAACAGTTCTTCATTAATCGAGAGGATTTCCAAAGTTACTGTATGGTGAAGTGTGTGAAAAACGGTTCACTTGAGTTTTCAAAATGGTGAACCTCAACTTTAATTTCATTGATTTTTGGTTGACCTTGAGAGATCTTCACGTAGAAGTTACAACGATGAAACTTCGTATCCAAGTATTCAATGTGTTTTTTCATTGAATCACTACCTCACCAGTCATATCGATTCCTTAGATTTTGATACAGGGTGAATCGAAAAATCAAAAATATCAAAATTTTCCATTGAATAACTATTTAACACCCTATATGAGATTTTGCATTCAAAATTCGTATGAGGGTATTCAAGCTATGCCTCAGTCGAATGAGCTAGTCACTGTTTCCATAAAAATAATTCCAAATAGCGTTACCATCGAGATTATATAGCCGTTTTTGACATTTTGACCCATTCAGAGCAATCGAAAGTAGGCCTGGAAAATATGAATATTTCAAATTTGTCCACATTTCCGAATTGAGCTCGTTGAGTACTATATTATGAAATTGCACACACTATATATGAATGTCATTTGCAGCTGATCATAACCATCTAGAAGATAACTTCTTATTTGTTTGAGATTGAAATATTTTTTTTCCGGAAAGTGCAAATAAAGTATGGAAAGAATCGTGAAAAGCGAGTTTGAGAATGTGTCTGACCAAATTTTCATTGCATTAATATAAACATTCTACATACAAATACAAGGTATGTCAGGACGAGCTTACAATATCTTTATATCGAGAATTAGTAAGGAGAAATCCATGAAAGTGTGCTTCCTTATATTCCAGGATACGCTCTCTTCATTTAAAATATTCTCGACTATGCAGTGTTGGTGTTGCCGCTTCTATAAGAAAGTAGTAGCAACATTGATATTTCAACTAGAATACCCTGTATTTTATTGCATTTTTCGATTCTCCCTCAAGAGCTGCTCCCATTGATATATCACACTAGGGGTCTATAGAAAATGATTACAGAGATATAGGGTGTTCAAATTCGAGATTTTTCAACGTTAGGATTTTTTTGTGTCCCTATCTCAACTTCTGACTCACCATTTACTGATATTTAATCGGAACAGATACAGGCTGGTTCAAGATTCAGAATTCTTGCATCCGATAGCTCGAAAGTTGAAAGGTTTAGGGCATATGTTCATATGAAATTTAGCTAGGGAATTATATCCTATATTTTCAGCCATGAATTAAATTTCACCCTGTAAATCCTTCTGTTTGAATTTTTCAGGTACCGAAGTTCCTGGTTATTTGCCACCTTCCATGGTACCACAGATGATACTTTTAACGTTCGATGATGCAATAAACGACGAAAACTGGGATTTGTACAGCAGAGTACTGTTTCCCAAAATTTATCAAAATCCGAATCGATGTCCTATAAAAGCTACGTTCTTTGTCAGCCATCAGTATAACAACTATCACTATACTCAGCAATTATGGAATGATGGACATGAAATTGCTATACATTCTATAACGTGAGTATTTATTTTTGCATATCTTTGATTTTTGATCCCCTCAGTTGCATAATTCAAAAAGTTTTGGATTTCAAAGTCTCCATTTATCGTGTAATTCTGACAAATTCTTCTTGAATTGAAGAGCAGCTATCCCATATATCACACGTTCATACGATGGATGTCCGCTGGATGTTCACAATGTATATTACGAATATTCATTGGACGTCCGATTATGTCCATTGGATATCCATTTGCTACAAAATTTTGAAAGCATTTTTCTTTCAGAAAAGAAAGTGGAATAGGTGGAAGTGATAGGTCTGAGAGACGTACACCCTTCAACAAAGAGTTCATTGAAAAGTTACAGGGTATTGAAAAGATTTTTCGACGCCACTTTGTAATTGCCTGCAATTTTAGCAATTTCTAATCAAAGATAGCAAAAAAAAAGATATGGTCCAAATAATAGGAGAATTCCTGACATACTTACGAAGATGTCACTGAAAATACTGTATCACCCTGATCAGTGGCGTAATTAAGAGGGGGGTCCATGGGGTCTGGACCCCCCCCCCCTCCTACTATCTTGTAGTGGTATTATTTGATATAATATAGTATCAATCAATGTTGTAGTGGCATCATTAGATGAATGTTGTGACTGGCGCCTATTTTACTAAACGTTTGGTAATTACTACCAACTATTTTTTCAGTGTATGTCAGAGGCGTGCGGTACTGCAATACTTGCACTTGATTCGTTATTATAATAACATTTTCAGATAATATTTCGTTTTTTACAGTAACTGAAATATTCGAATTTTTATTTTCGTTATTTTGTTTTTTTTTTCGTTCCTATTTCAATGTTTGTACCTGTTGATATGTGATATTATTCGATAATTTTTCAATAATTTTTTCTTCATTTTGTTATTGGTTCCAAACGATGCACAAATTTATTGAAACCAACGTAAGTTACGTATTGCTTTTCTTTTTCATAAATATTGGATCTTGGACCTGGACCCCCCCCCAGGGATGAATCTTAATTACGCCACTGACCCTGATACACTTTAGGACTTGGTTCAAGTAAATTGAACATTATATATCAACTATGAGCTTTCAATGTACTCTATAAAGATAATATAACTTCCACAAAAATATTTCAATATTTCAAGTGGAGGTTTTTGATGGTTCAAGATTTCAACATAATTATTTAAAAACATTTAAATACCTGGAAGGATGAGTTAATAATATCTACTACTCAAATAACAATGAACCAATTAGAAAATAGATACTTCTGAGCCTCTTTCATGGATATATAACCCTGGATAACCATCGTAGTTACAACTTACAGTCCATGTATAGATTCATATTCATCAAAAGTGAAAATAAACGTGATCTGTATTGCGATGTCAGTCCCAAAACTGATGAAAAACAAGAGCGAAATAAGCCGAATTACGCTAGAAACCCCAACTATGATTATTGGGACAAACATTATCTCAATTCAATAATAAGCATAATTCACAAAATGAGTTATGTCAATAAAGAATCTGAAAAGACTAAAATTTATAAAATACCCATAATGTCATAACACACCTGCGTTATGATGGTAGCAAATGTCCATTCAAGGGTATTTTACAATAAATGTTTCAAGAAAACGATTTTAATAATTACAGAATGTAGAGAATACTGTTGTAATAATACAATGATCAGGAATAGAAGATTTATTTATAATGATTACCACAATCAGAGCTGGTTGATATTTTTAATATCCACTTTCTCTCAGTGCAAGATGGCGGATTCAATATGGCGGACAATTTTTGTAATTATGATCCGATTCTATTCAAAATAGGTATCTGGGGGTATTCGGGGTTGGTAATTATATGATTATTTGGTGAAAACTCTGAAATTCAAGATGGCGGATCCAATGTGGCGGACGAGTTTTATAATTATGATCCGATTCTATTCAAAATTAGTATCTCGGGGTTTTCGGGGTCGAAGATTATGATTCTTTCGTCAAATCGGGATATCCAAGTAGTTATGATATGCTTCTATTCAAAATTAGTATCGCTATGTATTTGGTGCAGAGATTATGATGCTATATTGTCAAGATTGGAATCGAGATGGCGGATTCAATATGGTGGACGAGTTTCGTGATTAATTATGATCTGATTCTATTTGAAATTGGTATCTGGGAGTGTTTGGCGTTGGAAATTATAATTCTTCCGTCAAAATTGCAGAATTCAGAATGGTATCCAGAATGGTGGACAGGTTTTGTAATCATGAACCAGTTCTATTACAAATTTGTAGCTAGGGATTTCCGGCGTCGGAGATTATAATTCTTTCGTCGAAATTGGGTCTACAACAAATATAAAAAACTAAAGAAAACGATTTTGTAGTTAGCCAAACTAAGGAGTAGAAAATATATAGTAGTTTAAAAACTAAAGAAACACTATTTCATAGATAGCTAAACTAAAAAAAAAACAAGTAGAAAATATAATACTGAACGTGTGCTGATAAATACACAACATAGAAAATATTAGCACCATCGTTATAAGTATATTGTGTATTTATCAACACACTTTTATGATTTTATTTTCTGAGTACTTCTTTTCAGTTTGTCTACAAAAGCGTGTTTTTCAAACGAATATTTTTTCTTCTAGTCACCGTGGTCCAGAGGAATGGTGGGCCATCAACGCCACCATCGAAGACTGGTTCGACGAAATGGTTGGCCAGGCCAACATCCTGAACCGATTTTCGAAAGTGAGAATGGACCAGATCAGAGGAATGAGGGCACCTTTCCTGAGACCGGGATGGAACAAGCAGTTTCTGATGATGAAGGAATTCGGTTTCGTGTATGACAGCTCCGTTGTGGCTCCGTTCGACAACCCGCCGATATGGCCTTATACGCTAGATCATAAGATTCCACATGACTGTAAAGGTGAGTACAAAGTGACCCACTCGAAAACAACCAACTAATACTACTAGTCAACGCACCTATACGAATCAAGAGACCTATCTAGCTAGAAAATCAGAGGACTGTGGACTCTTGAATGAGTTTGATGGGTATCATTGAAGAACATTTTTGCTATGCTCGAGATAAACAATCAATTATCAATACAGTTTTTCAATCAAAGCAATATATCCTATGCTATCATAATAGGTCTGTTCGCTGTTCCTGCATGGCATTGATATTGTACACTACATATTTCTGCAATACATATATATATTTCTACAATTGGAATTTCGCGTTGCATGGTTAAAACTCTTGGAACTTGAAAAAGAAAGGGATACCTAGTGATGATGAAATCATTGATAGTTATTCCTTGAATTCAGATGGTGATTCAATTACAAGTTCTTATGATCGACGAGGATTTATCAATGAAATCTGTTTTATCAGTAGTTGGATATTCCATCTATGGATTAGAAATGTTGACCAAAATGATTGAATAATTTACAAAAGAGAGATTGTTGTTTGTGCTCCAAAAACAAACTTTTAACTTAACAACTATCTGCACTACACTTCTTACACCTCCTCAAGATCAAGAGTAACACTCTGTTTACAATACTTTGACAACGAACACGAACGAACAACAGTGTGAGTGTACACCATATAACACCGAACGGTATCAGTGCTACACAATCTACTCTGGTGTACAATATTGTAGTTATCGGAGGCACAGCGAACAGACCTAATGATGTGCTCAATCTGCACCAGGGGCGCGAGTTTCGTTTATTTCAATGGCTGCCAGAGTAAAGGGGGTTGAGTAGTAATAAAAAAATAATGCATGATGAACGACATTTTTGTTTCATTCAATATCAAATTGAATACCTTCAAAAGAACAGAAGCAATAATTATTATGCACAAGCTGCAAAACGTCAAAACCTATATGTAGTTCAGTGATCGAGGGATCATTGGGAATTTGAGAACTTTCATTTGATTCGAGTTTTTATTATTTCTGGCGAAAATTTGTATGAAAAAGAATCATATAGAAACATAATGATGCTTCACCATCACCACGTAAGCGGCGTGAATGATGGCCCGATGGCGCCAGCCGAGGGCCATCACATCCTGAAGGTCATAAAAGTATATTACACACCGAGGTAAACAGAGATTCATTTCTGTCGTGAGATTAGTTAGTTAACCGAGGTCGAGGTTAGCTATGATCTCGGGACAGGAATGAAACTTCCTACCGAGGTTTGTATGCTATTTCATTTAGAACCATCATATTTCGACCAAAATTAATAAACCTCTGTTGAGGCCGGGAAGTAAGGGCGGGGAGTAGTGGGGGAGTAGTGGGGGAGGGAAGTAGAGGTGTGTAATGTGACACTTCCCAAACTTCAATGACGTTAGTTATAACAACATGGCATAATACGGTCTGACTACTTGCAGACCAGTTTCGAGCTGTTGGCTCTCATCAGTGCAAGGCTATCCCAGATAGCTTCTGCATTATTGCATATTGGTATTGGTATTGGTATTGGTATTGGTATTGGTATTGGTATTGGTATTGGTAGGTTGGATGGTGACAGATGCGCTGCGACCTAATTAGATCTATTGTGCCCCATCTGCTTCTGCTATATCAAGGATTCCTTGTTTATAGCAGCCCCTCGAGATTCAATTCCTTCAGGAATTTGAGGATTTTGAGGGGGTCCAGCTGTGGTATTTCTTCCACAGTCAGTTGGTGTGTTCGCAGTATGTTCAATCTTTTGTGATGTACAGCGTCACACTCCATCAGTATGTGATGGGGTGTTTCTGGTACTTCCTCACAGAATCTGCAGGTGCCGTCCTTCTGTGAGCCTAGCTTCCTTAGGTGTTCTTTGAGTCTGCAATGCCCCGTTAGAAATCCCGTTATTGCTTTGAGACTTCCTTTGCTGAGGTTTGTCAGTGTCTTAGATCTTTATCGGTTGAAATTTCCAAGGAGATCTTTAGCCTGCCGTAGTCCTGGAAGTCATCTCCATTGTCTGGCTCTCCAGGTTCCTTCCGCCTTCTCAAGTTCTCCTTGGAAATAGGAATGTCCAAGGCCACAGAATGGCTCTGGTCCGATCAGTGGCGTTGAAGCCCCTTGTCGTGCCAGAGTGTCTGCTTGTTCATTCCCCTCTACTCCAATATGCCCTGGCACCCAGAGGAGGATCACTTTATTGTCGCTGCCTAGCTCATTCAATTTGCTTAGGCATTCCCATACCATCTTCGAGTTGATGTAAGGAGAGCTCAACGCTTTGATGGCTGCTTGGCTATCGGATAAAATCGCGATGTCCTTATTGCATAGATTTCGGGAGGATGTAATCCAATGTGGCATATAGCCAGGAAAGAAGTTTTTTTCTTCTCGTTATCTACCATTTTCGTTCATTTCATAAACTATTGTGGTAATGACTTTGAGTTTCTCTTTCTTTGTAAAACTACTGTTTGATGTTCTAGAGGCCAAACAGCTCTGTCCGACCAGATCGTACCACGGCATCTGGGAGTTGCCCCTGAACCAGCTGGAGGCGGGCTCGTTCACTTGTTCCATGGTGGACTCGTGTCCTTCAGATTTGACCGGAAATGACGTGTACGACATGCTGACGCACAACTTCAAGAGGCACTATCTGAGCAACCGTGCGCCTCTGGGGCTGTATTTCCACTCGACGTGGTTCAAGAATCACGAGTACCTCACTGCTTTCCAGGTCAGTAATAGCCTAGATGATACTTTACGGCGGGAGTAGAAGCAATTCCTTAAACTGTGGTAGAAGTTAGTTCCTCTGGTGAAAGGAGGGCAGATGTGGCGTATTATTTCCTAGGGAGAGAGATGAAGAGAAAGGGAGAATATACTTTATTGTCATATAAGTAAGAAAATAGTCTTGTTGACAAAGCTCCACTTATAATTAATGAAATGTTTGTATAAATATGAGTATATTGATGAATGAAATATAAGTCATTTGGTCATTACAAAAGAAACGAGATGATATAATGGCTATATTCCGAATTCAACTGGTCAGTACTGTCAGTAGATCCACTGAATCTGCTGAAAATCTGTGTTCCGAAATATATAATCAAAAATACAGTGCTGTAATTCGGGACACGTTTTCATGGTTTTCATTTAATATTTAACATGGAAGAGCAATCGATTCTTGTAGCCTCCATAGTTTCTACGATTATTGACGATGACGATTCAGATTCTTACTTACTTGGACATTTTGTTGTCATTAATTTCGAATGATGCACGAGATTGAGAATTGAAAGATTTATAGAAAACGTAATGATGATGAATTTAGGAGACATTTCAGGTTTATTCAGTTATTTATTTAGCCAATGCTGCTTCTTCTTTCGCTACCTCTACTACTTCATACTCAATATTATTCTCAGTGCTTATCATATCAGTAACAGGTATTTTCTGATATTGACAATAATATATTATCAACAACGGAAATGAATGTTACATTCCTTCCCCCTCTAAAATAATGACAGTTCACTGAAGCCACACTACCTTTCGATAGTCAGCAATTCCAGCAGAATGTTGAGTCGAAATATTTGGAATGAATAGTATGTCTGCTCACAAGCATCTGTCACTTTCAGTGATTTTTTTGATTTCGGAATGAAAAATCAGTAGATTCAGTACTGTCAGTTGAATTCGGAATATAGCCAATATACAATACAACTATACGATTCAGGTTCGAAACTAATACAATAACAACACAATATCAATTCACTCATTTCTAGGTACCTATAGGTATATTACAATAGGGTCTATCAGTTAGAACAAATTTCACAGCCTTTCTGAATGATTTCAAGAAGTTCATCATTTTTACATATTGTGGTAGATGGTAGATGTAATGAAAAGTTTACAACCATTTATATAATCGAGTCCTTCACAAGCGAAGTCTTTGGTATAAACAACTTGAGATTGCTTGATTGCAGTGTCGGAGTGTCACATATTCGAACAGTGGTAATTGAAAATTATTGGAATACTTTTCAATCAAGCATACTGGTGCCATTATGAAAATAAAAATCACCATACGTATCCCATGGGGGCGGGAGAGTTGTCTACAATATGTATTTCGGGCGTAACTTGCTTTGCTGACCTGGTCGTGTTAATAGCCCTCGCTATTTTAGTTACACGCTACGGTCTATAAAAGCCTATTTTACGCCCTTGATATATAAATAACTATTATTTACGACTAATATATAATATAAATATTATATTTGTGGTTTTTGAAGTATAATGCCATATATTAATCCCTTAGGGAATAATGGCGAGGGATTAATAGTCTTTATTCCCTCTTGTACTCCTATCACAAAAGTTCTCGAATTAAATAATACCATGGAAACAATATAACCAAACTCAAAAGTGTCAGTGTCAAACGCGTAGTGTTTGTGTATTTGTATTAAAATGAATGAAAATGAAGAATCTTTCACTTGTACACCACCAGAAATTGTACAATTAGCTGCAGCAACAACATCTACCTTAATACCAGAAACATCGAAATCCATTTATAATAAAACGTACGCATCGTTCAACGAATGGCGTCTTCGAAACAAGGCAAACTCTTATTCCGAAAATGTTCTGCTGGCCTATTTCGCTGAATTGGGTGCAAAATACAAGCCATCTTCATTATGGTCATTCTATTCAATGATTAAATGTGTGTTGAAGATAAACCATGACGTTGATCTGGAAAAATATAAGAAACTACGAGCGTTTTTAAAAAGAAAATCTGAAGGATTTCAAGCAAAGAAATCTTCCACTCTGACCCCGGAAGAAATTAGGAAATTTATTGACAGAGCTCCTGATGAAATTTTTCTTTTGCATAAGGTAAATGTTCATATTTAATCTGATCTATTCAAAAACTCATGTTCTTATTTGATTCAGGTTATATTAGTTATTGGAATTATGGGCGCATGCCGCTCAAACGAGCTTTATGAAATGAAGATAGAAGACGTGAAGGATTTCCAAACAGAGTTATTGATAACAATACCCAAGACTAAAACTAAAATTGTACGAAAATTCACCATAAACAGTACGTTTTACAATATTGTAAAGAAGTACATCGATCTCCGTCCGTCACATGTAGAAACCAATTCATTCTTTCTAAATTATCAAAAATCGAAATGTACAATACAACGTATAGGAAAAAACAAATTTGCAGACATTGGTAGACAAATTGCCAAATATTTAAACTTGCCCAATCCTCAAAGTTATACCGGCCATTGTTATCGCAGATCATCTGCCACTCTGTACATTGATGGAGGAGGCGATATAACTGGATTGAAGCGTCATGGGGGCTGGAAATCTACCCAAGTAGCTGAAGGATACATTGATCAGTCTATGAGAAACAAAACAACTACAGCAGATACTATTGCCAAACAGATAAATAGTAATGAAGCAACTTCTTCTTTTACAGCAACCGAAATTCCAAATATTCGTGTTGAAAACTCTTCCAAAGTTAATCATAATTTACGACCAATTCAGTTTATTAATTGTACTGTCACTAATTTAAATGTTATTGACAAATAAAGTTGTTCATTGAAAATCTAAAATAAATGTTATTGACAAATAAAGTTGTTCATTGAAAATCTAAAATAAATAAATTTGTCGTAAATAAAGTAGAGTATACTACTCGCAATAATGGCTATTATTCTCTCGGAATGTTACTCCCTCGCCGCTAACGCGGCTCGGTTCGTAAAAATTCCTCGAGAATAATAGCTATCATTATTGACTCGTGGTATAATCTACTAATTATCGCGAGAACTGTCACGGATAATAAAGTAGCTACTACTTTCTGATACATGATACATGCGGCAAAGATAACAGTATATTAATAACACTGTGGCTATATTCCGAATTCAACTCTGACCAGCTCTGACAGTAGGTACTGAATCTGCTGATTTTTCATTCCGAAATCAAAAAAATTCGCTGAAAGTGACAGATACTTGTAAGCACACATACTATTCATTCTGAATATTTCGACTCAACATCTTGCTGAAATTGCTGACTATCAAAAGGTAGGGTGGCTTCAATGAACTGTCATTATTTAAAAGAGGGAAGGAATGTCAAAATTATTTCCATTGTTTTTTGAAGACCAAGGCAGCTTTTGCGATGGATCTGACATGATTTTTCTATGAGAGAGTATTGCTGATGGTATAGCATAGATATAGCATATACATATATACAGGGTGTCAATTTGAAAACTTCCCACCCTTAATATTTCCCTCCAAGTCGATAATATGTAAAAACGAAAAGACAGGTCGATTTTATTCTCGAGGGGGAAACTTTGAATTGATATTTTTGACCATCATGGTTCAACCCCCTAGGAGGGGTAGATGTCACCCTCAGAATATGAATAGGGAAGAGGGGTCAAGTGGCACATCATTTTGTAGGGCGTTCAATTCTCTTTCCAACGATACCCTACTTTACTATTTTTTGACGAGCAATTTCTGAAAAATAGCGTTCTAAATCTACAGAAGTGATCTAAACTTGCCTGCACAAAGATGCATGATTTTCAGGTTAGTATTTGAACAGAGATTTTTGAATTGATTCTCCTTTCAGTAAAACTAGTCAGGAAATTAGGTAACAACTTCACATCTTTTCAACAGGGGCAACATAATATCTTTCTTTTCAACGGTATATCTTACTTTACTATTTTTTGATAACCAGTGATTAGAACTTGCCTTAACTCAGATACATTGTCTTCAGGACGAAAATTATTGTTTTGAATCTTCCATTGATGAAAATGGTTAGAAAGTTAGGTGGCATCGTTACAATAGAAATAAATCTAGTCTACAAACGTTTGATTTTTTGTTTGTTGGTTATATTACTTTGAAAAAAAACTTTCAGAGTGCCAGATAGAAATTTCAAACATCTATTCACGTAGTATCTTATAAACTGTTCGAAATGTTGTCCATTTTGTTCTAAACAGTAATAAAGTCTGTTTTCGAACTCCTCTCTAACATTCTGGAAAACTTCACCACGAATCGAGCGGCATGATGCTGTAATTCGTCCTTTGAGTTCATCAATATCCGTCGGTTGTGTTTTGTAAATGACGGATTTAAGATGTCCCCAAAGGAAAAAATCTAAAGGAGTCAAATCCGGTGATCTCGGAGGCCACTCAGATGCTCCCCTTCTGCCAATCCATCTATCCGGGAATCTGTCATTTAACCACTGTCGGACAGGAAGAAAATAATGAGGTGGGGCACCGTCCTGCTGGAAATGTAACAGATCCTCCTGCAGAAGTAAATTACCGTCTTCATCAATTTGATTTTCTAGCTCGTGAGTTATAAGAGGATCGATAGTATCTTCAAGCATATCTAGGTACAGATTTCCAGTCAAATTTTCTTCAATGAATAAAGGACCAACAATGGCATTTCCAAGAATACCAGCCCAAACATTAATTTTTTGTGGTTGTTGTGTATGTCCTTCTCGAAAAATGTGAGGGTTTTCGTCACTCCAATAGCGACAATTTTGTCTATTCACATTTCCATTCAGAAAAAATGAACATTCATCGCTGGAACAGATATTTAATAATAGATTAGGGATGGCATTGACTCGATTTGACATCGTTTCACAAAATCTATCATAATCATCCTCATGGAGCTCTTGAAGAATCTGCATCTTATATGGATGAAATTTATGTAATTTCAGTGCTTTTCTCACAGTCTCGTGTGACATTCCCGTCTGTTCTGCCACTGAACGTAAGGAGCTAGTAGGTTCTGCAGCAAATGTTCCCAAAACTTCAATTTGAGCTTCTTCATTCAGTACTCTAGGATTATTCCTTTTTTTATTTTTCACCGAACCAGTTTCGTAAAACTTTTCCACCAAATCAAGCACATACCGGTGACTAACATTACAATCTGGATTTCTTTCATTAAAAAGAAATGCCGCTCTTCGTGCGCACTTTCCAGCCTCTCCATAAATCACAATCATTTCAGTTCTATTTGAAAGAGTGTAAACCATTTTCACAATTATAGGTACCTACTCTGAATAAACGTATTACTGATTAGCTCAACAAATAAAACTCATCAATCAATAATACTACCAGATCGTTTGAATTTGCTGAACAATTTTTTGCTCAAAAAACAGAGTTTTTTTGAATCAGCAGTGGCAAGAAAGGAACAAAAAAGGAAGGCCATCTGTAGAATTGAAAATCCAATGATAAACGCAAATAAGCTATCATCGAAATGTCACTATTAGATTATTGATGTTGATTTATTGGAGCTGATGGCTAATTATGTTGCCCCTGTTGAAAAGATGTGAGGTTGTTACCTGTTTTCCTGTCCAGTTTTACTGAAAGGAGAATCAATACAAAAATCTCTGTTCGAATACTAACCTGAGAATCATGCATCTTTGTGCAGGCAAGTTTAGATCACTTCTGTAGGTTTAGAACGCTATTTTTCAGAAATTGCTCGTCAAAAAATAGTAAAATAGGGTACCGTTGGAAAGAGAATTGAACGCCCTTCAAAATGATGTGCCACTTGACCCCTCTTCCCTATTCATATTCTGAGGGTAACATCTACCCCTCCTAGGGGGTTGAACCATGAGGGTCAAAATGATTCATTCGAAGTGTCCCCCTCGAAAATAAAATCGACCTGTCTTTTCGTTTTTCCATATTATCGACTTGGAGGGAGATATTGAGGGTGGGAAGTTTTCAAATTGACACCCTGTACATATAGTGGTCTAGGTGGGAATGGTGGTATCAGACATTGTTATATCAGGCATACTGAGTTCCGCCGAATTTATCGGTATGTGCTGATTATTGGAGAAATAAAAGCAAACATCCACTATTCCAATAATTCCAATGGGCTTCGGTCATAAATCGGCGAGTGGAAAACGCTATTATGAATGCCTCTCAAGGGCCTCATAAAATCGGACACAATTTCGCGGCATAGAGAAAACAAAACACCCTTCGAATTTCGAGCCTTTAGTTACTTTTATTGAGGCACTCTAATCAATTAAGGTTTCCGTCACTCACTTCGGAGTATCGGATTTTCCGCGCAGGTGGATGCTGAAAGAGATCGGGAGGCAGAGACAAGATGATTGATTCGAGCCAGGAATTTAGAGCACGTGTGAGATTGCAGATTGATGTCTATTTGAAAACTTGTTGATTGAAATCGCAATTGTGTGATCTCAGGCACATCTGTTGGTCTTTCACAAAATGTCGGCGATTATCAACTGTTCTGGAAGAGAAGAATACTTGATTATTTAGGTTTTCTTATCCTCGTTTCTCGAAAATGAAAATATGAGATTTATTTCAATATACAGTGTGTCCTACTTACCATGCTCATCATGGGTATCTCTTCAACGGTGAGAGATACGAGGTCGATTAAATGACACCAAATGTGTAGTTTGTCAAGGCCAACTATAATGTGAAAAAATATTTCGATAAAATCTATTCGTTTTTGGTTTATACGCAAAAAACAGATTTTGATCATTTTCATGTATCCTCCGTAACTTCTTTATTCATGAAAATATTCGATTAGGAATTTCACATTCTCATGGCAGTTTTTCGAAGTGATTTCGAAAAAAATATGGAATTTATACCAACTCTTCTAGAATTTGAGATATCAGCACCAACTTTAGTTTGTCAAATGTACAAATAACTTTTTTTTCTCTTACAGATGATATGTCGCAGTAATAGTTTTGTGTTGATAACAACGGAGTTATCGTCATTTATACAAAAACAAAAAATTATTTGGGAGCCGCCATCATGAATTTATATATTTTAACAAAAAAATCATGATCTCCGACCTCTAAAACCCCCACTTACCGATTTTGAATGGAATCGGACCAAATATTGTCCGCCATCTTGGAGCAGCCATTTTTTTTAATTTCAACAAAAACTCCGATCAACTTAAAATTCGTCAGGTGTTCATAATTTCGTTGACAATACATTATGGAATTTTTGTTGAAATTAAAAAAAATGGCTGCTCCAAGATGGCGGACAAGATTTGGTCCGATTTCATTAAAAATTGGTAAGTAGGGGTTTTTTAGGTCGAGGATCATGATTTACTTGTTAAAACTCATAAATTCAAGATGGCGGCTTCCAAAAAAAGTGTTTTTGTAAAAATGACGATAACTCCGTTGTTATCAACACAAAACTATCACTGCGACATATCATCTGTAAGAGAAAAAAAAGTTATTTGTAACTAAGTCATAGTGAGCTATGACCTACATTTGAAAAACTAAAGTTGGTGCTGATATCTCAAATTCTAGAAGAGTTGGCATACATTTCAAATTTTTTTCGAAATAACTTTGAAAAACTGCCATGAGAATGTGAAATTCCTATTCAAATATTTTCATAAATAAAGAAGTTACAGAGGAGACATGAAAATTATCAAAATCTGTTTTTTGCGTATAAAACAACAACGAATAGATTTCATCGAAATATTTCTTCACATTATAGTTGGCCTTGACAAACTCCACATTTGGTGTCATTTAGCCGACCTCGTATCTCTCACCGTTAAAAAGATACCCATGGTGAGCATGGTAAGTGGGACACACTGTATATGTGTAGTAGGACAAATCAGATGATTCGCCCCAAAATGTCACTGCGTTTAACGAATGTTTCTATCAGGCAGTCTGAAAGAAAAATCAATAGCTTGTCAGTGCCGCATTCTGTTTGGAAAAAGGTGTGAAGAAAACTATCAAAAAAGGAATAATCAAATAACACCATAATAGAACCAAATCGATATCATCTAATCAACAAATTTTGAATTACGAAATCCACCACCAGAAAATGTTCTTCAACTCAATTCCTATCCAAAGAACTTCATTGATAGAAGGATTCACCAAATAGGAGACAAACGAAAGAATAAATCGTGTTGGTGATAAATTCCAAGTGAAAACTGTATTCACAACTGAAAATACAATGAGATCAATTCTAACACAAACAAAGCCGAAAAATGAAGAACAATCGTAAAAAAATTGTATTCACAGTATACCTTGTATTTGTGGAAAGTTTTATACAGGTGAAACCAAGAGACCTCTTTCAGTAAGGACGAAGAAACTTAAGTACAATATAAGGAGAAGACACATCGAAAAATCGAAACTAGCTGAACATATCCTTACTGAAGATGGACAACATATGGCAAAATGGAATAATATTAAAATCATTGGAAAAGAAGATAGCAACCAGAAGAGAAAAACCAAGGAATCTGATGGTAAATTCAAGATCAATTAATGAAAACATCCCGTAACTCATTTGATTGCCAACGTCACCATTTGTTACTGAGAGCTGAAAAGTGACAAGACAAATGAGAAATTGCTATTCAAATATCCATTTTTTATGTTGAATAAGGAAGCAGATTCGTTCCCGAAATGTCCAAAGCTAGGTGAAAGTCTGATATATTTTCTGTATACCTTCATTTCCAAACCTTTTTCAATACAAATTGTCACTGACAAGCTAGTGAATTTTTGTTTTAGGCTCTCTGATAGGAACATTTTCTTAACGCAGTGACATTTTGGGGCAAATCATCTGAATCATCCTCACCACACGTATATTGAAATAATATTCATATTTTGATTTTATAGAAACGAGGAGAGAAAATTCCAGAAAATCTGGAATAATGAATATATAATTTGATCGATCGAATATGAAGTGAACATTCCAGTGTTTACTCCATTCCAGTGACTTGAACATAATAATTGTCTTGTACACCATTTATGTAATGAAAAAAATTAAATCTGATTTGATTTAATATTTGCTACCTCCTGAGGCGCTAAAGTGGTTTAGTTCGATCGATTCTTCAGTCCTTACATAGACTCTTGGCGCCCAACGAGGGGTATTTTACCACTATCATCACAATTCAAAAATTCCATCTAATATATACACATTTATTTATCTCATCGTAATTTCTGAAAGAGCAAGACTCTTCTCGTTTGACCTATTTGTTTTCACACTTCGATTTATTTTCAGTCCTTATATATATACTTTTGACGTCCAACGTGGGGTTTTTCAATCCATAACTTCCATCTCAATATACACATTCAACAATAGAAATTCTCATCGGACATTCTGGAAGAGCCCTCTGGTTTGACCTTTTCTCATTCAGACTACGCGAAAGTATATATGTACTGATATTTATTTTCAGTCCTCACATAGACTTTTGGCGCCCAACGTAGGGTTTTTACCGCTCTCATCTCAAACCATAACTTCCATCTGACATTCACATTAATTTCTAGAAATTCTTATCGGACATTCTGAAAGAACCAGACGTATGGTTCGTGACCAGCTGGCAAGCTATCCAGTGGATGAGGCAGCCGAAAACAGTTGACCAGCTCCACGACTTTGCACCCTGGGGCTGCAAAAGGAGTTTCGACCAGTCGGAGATTGCTTGCAGCACTCCCAACGTGTGTAAGCTATACAGCAGGGTGTTCCAGGAGGACAGATACCTGCAGACGTGCGCCGCTTGCCCCCAGAAGTACCCGTGGATTAGGAACGAGTTTGGTTTGGACTGAAGATCGAAAAGTGTGTTCGTTAAGATTATTGAAATGTTTTTCTTAATAAATAATGTATTCGATATCAGAGTTCATTTTCCCGTAACTACTCAACATGGACAATTAATACAAGATGATTTTTTTTTTGCAACCGACACAAAAGTCGTACATTTTAATATCAAAATTAGCTCTTGAATTGACGTTTCTATTACTGACACAAAAATAGGTATGCTGCTAGGCAACATATTCAGTTCCTTGGAGCTAAAGTTGAACTTTAGCTCCTAGGAACTGAAAAGGATGTTCTAGACGTCATCAAGAATAAACGACATAGTAGCAGTTGGTTATTTGGGTTGAGACGCATACCTGATTTGTTTTCGATTTCGGCAGATTTGGCATTTCATATACCCGTGCAGGAGATATAAATACACCTTATTATAGTTGAGCATAGGAATTAAACACATCTCAGTTGAGTATTTTTGTTTTGATCAGGGATAAGCCTTCAAGATTCATTCGATATTCTCGGGATGGATAACTTGTTTTTGAATATTCACGGCAGCAATAGTTTTTGTCTCAAGGAACGATATTGTTTACCTCTATTTGATTATCAAGTCAAACACAGTGTAGTATGGAGAGGAATAAATAATAGCTATTATTATTGTTAATATGCTCACTAACCTAACATTTTCCACATCTTGTTCCTATACCTGGCACTGGCGCGGTATTTGCCATTGAAGCACCTGGTCCATACACAAATATGTCAGTCTGTAGTTGTATTTATATTGAAACTACAATTGGAACATCCTTGAAAATTGAATGAACATGCTGTTAATGCAAGTAGAATATTTTCACCACACGGATTTTGCATTGACTTTGATTTGTTGCATTGCATACATATAGAACGTCATTGGTGGTTACTTCACATATTTATTTGAGTCAATTGTTTCGGTTGCAGAAAAAATAGCAAAATCGCAAATTTTGGTTTCGCTCGGCTTCGCTAAACGCTTGCCTCGCAAATGCAAAATTCGCTTTTCAAACAAAGTGTCACTTTTGATCCTAATAAAACAATCTACTATTACCGCCTATACCTCTTGCATAAAAATGGTGCGTTACTCCCATCATTTTATCTGGAATATGTTGAATAATGTATTTGGAATATTCGTTCGGTTCAAACATTGTCGTTGTAATCATGAAGAAACATTAGGAGAAGTATAGATAAACTTGGTATCTATTCGCTACATGGTATTTCTTTTTATACTCTGACCAATCAACTTTCAATATAATTAGGCTTAACCAATGAGATACGCCTTCATATATGACAGCGCTGGTTTGTGGTTTAGTTCAGGTTGACTGCATAACGGATAAGCTCATTAGAAAATATTCCATTCATTTCTTTGAAGATGTTGAACACTCATATCATCTTCGGAAAGGGTAGTGTCCTAACTGACTTCGTGCCGCTTGCCCCCAGAAGTACCCGTGGATTAGGAACGAGTTTGGTTTAGACTGAAGATCGAAATGTGTGTTGGTTAATATTATTGAACTGTTTTTCTTAATAAATAATGTACTTGATATCAGAGTTCATTTTTCCGTAATTATACACAACATGGAAAATTAATTCAAGAAGATCTTTTTTTTAACGACTACTTGTATAAAAATGATGCATTATTTCATTTCATTTCGGACAAGTTGAATACTGTATTTGGAATATTCGTTCGGTTCAAACAATGTCGTTCTAATAATGAGAACACAGAAGGCGAAGTATAAAATTGTCTGTTTTAGATAAACTAAACTGGGCGTTAATTGAAACGTTAATAATGAAATTTGGCATCAAGTTTGACTTCTTGTAATTTCTAAAATATTGAACGAATTTTGAATTGCCGCCCAGATTCTGAATGCCTTTTTCATCGTCTTTCGAACCGTTCCTTACAGCTTCTTCTAAATTGATCAGGATCCATGATACAGGGTGAAACAAAGTTACGTGCATTTTGAAAAAAATTTCTCCGCCCCCCTATTTTGTCGGAAGACCACGATGCTCATATTTTATTCAGGCATTTCATAAATAGCAACCATACCTCGGGACGTTTTCGAGTTTTTGCCAAAAACTACTGTGGTTTCCGAAAAAAAAATTTTTTTAGCATTTTTTTTAATGGACTTATTACCTGTATCACCAAAACGATGAATCAGTCTCTTTATTGTCATGACTGACTTATTGAAAATGGTACTTAAATGAGTTTGGGTATATTCTGATCGTCGTAACCTGAAATAATGATTATCTGTACTGAATTATAGGTTATATCACTATAGTGATCTTACCTAATGATATTTTCCATTTCGACCCGATTTGAACGAGGCATCTTTAAATCATTTAGGACCCGAATTACACTGACTTTTTCATGAAAATTGGCAATTGATATAACCTCTATGCATACCTACATTGTTTCAACAATACGCTGTTATAAAAACAAGGTAACCTTGTTTGTATTTGTTGATGAGATGTGTTGATTTACTGCTCACTAAGGTAGAAAACTTTCATCATAGACTGCGAAGTAATAAATTATTGATTGTTTTTGAGTAACCTGGTATACATATCTGGTCCAACGATTTCCTGAAATGCATAGAAGCATCCATTTATGGAACTCCTTTAAAATTAAACAAGTCGGAGCCCTGAGGGGGCAGAAGGACGATCTAGCCTTCATAGCCATCTAGTCTCCTTTAAAATTAGTCCATTTAAAAAAAATGCAAAAAAATATTTTTTTTTTTCGGAAACCACAGTAGTTTTTGGCAGAAACTCGAAAATGTCCCGAGGTATGGTTGCTATTTATGAAATGCCCGAATAAAATATTAGCATTGTGGTCTTCTGACAAAATGGGGGGGCGGAGAATTTTTTTTTCAAAATGCACGAAACTTTGTTTTACCCCGTATCACGGGTCCTGATCAATTTAGAAGAAGCTGTAAGGAACGGTTCGAAAGACGATGAAAAAGGCATTCAGAATCTGGGCGGCAATTCAAAATTCGTTCAATATTATAGAAATTACGAGAAGTCAAACTTGATGCCAAATTTCACTATTAACGTTTCAATTGACGCCCAGTATTGTATCTATACGCTTCATGGTATTCCTTCATAAACCCTGACCAATCAACATTTAGTATAATTAGGCTCAACCAATGAGATACGCCTTTATACTGGTTTAATTCACGTTGACTGCATAACGGGAAAGCTGAGCAAGAAATATTTCATTCATTCCTGTCAAAATGTGAATGAGTAACGGGTCCAAGACCAAGGTGCTGGAATTTACAGTGAAGGGAGAAACTCTCAAATGAGCTTCTCACTGGGAATAAACACTTCTGTATTTCAAGCGGAAATGTACGCCATCTTGCAATAAGCAAGAACAAACAATATGAGGGAAGTGCTAAATGCACGAATCAAAATATGCGCCGATAGCCAGGCATCACTGAGAGCTCTCACGAACCCGAAAGTGACATCCAGGCTGGTACGGAAATGCGGAGAAGGACTCAATGCCCTGTCAGAATATAACAAAATTACCCTGTTATGGGTTCCTGGGCATTGCGGCATCATAGGGAACGAAAAAGCTGATGAACTGTCAAGAACTGGCTTATCAACTCCATACATTGACCCAGAACACGTACTCGGGGTTACTAAAACAGCTACCCGAGGCTATATATCACATGCACCACGGGGAGGTATTCATTGAAGAACCGTCGAAAAATAAATCTGAAGAACTACTCGAGATGAGTAGGAACCAAGCCAGAACAAAAACGGGACTTCTCACTGGTCACAGCCCAACAAGAGGACACCTGAATGAAATGGGGCTGTACATTGGAGAACTTCTCTGCAGACAATGCGGTAATGAAAAAGAAACGGCGAAACATCACTTATTAATAGAATGCGGGGCATTAGATCGCGAAAGACAAGAAATATTCGGGCAGCCTGGCCTGACTCCCGGAGAATACAAAAGCCAACCAGTGAAGAACCTGTACAGACTGGTGCAGGAAATAAGAGCTACGGAATGGGTCCTGTAAAATGAACTGGAATGCACAAAAAGCCAAGGAAGCTGAGGTGTAGCCGGTGACAGGACCAGCATCCAACAAAAAGAAAGAAGTGAAGTGCTGAACATGCATATCATATCTTTGGGAACAGAAGTATCTAAACTGACTTTGTGAAGACTTTTAATGCACATTTGGCGCCCAACGCGAGGTAGGTATAAAACCGTGGACTAGCTTCACAGCTTCGCGCCCTGGGGCTGCAAAAGAAGCTTCGAGTAGTCGGAGATTGACTGCAGCGCCCCCAACGTGTGCAAGATGTACAGCAGAGTGTTCCAGGAGGACAGATACCTGCAGACGTGCGTTGCTCGCCCCCAGAAGTACTCGTGGATCATGATTTTGACTGAAAATCGAGATGTATATGTATATTGGTCAGGATGATTGTACTGTATTTCAATGAAATTATTGTTTGTTGGAAAATAACGCATTATTCTCAAGTTAATTGAATAACTCTGAAAATTCCACAGCACCAGTATAGTTTTTAACCAATCAAATTGGATTTTTTGGCAAATCACCATAGGAACGTAACTATGTATTTTAGTGGAAAAATTTTCCGTTCGCTTTCACAAAGAAAATTTACTCTGATTTGACTAGTAGAACCCCAATAGCACATATTCTGAGCTGGGCATAGGCCCTATATTTGCCCAATATTTTCGATGTTATGCCAATATAGAGACAATATCCTTCCAAGATTTGTGCTACTGGCGAAATACCCAGTCCGCAAAATTCTATGAAAAAATACACGAGTGAAATGCTCCTTAGTCCCAGGGGAGCTTGTGAAAAAAATCAGAATTTTTTCACCTATCGTGTAATTCAATGAGCTGAATCCAGATGTTAATAAACACAACGATCCATGAAAATCATTCATATCTCAAAGTGGTCAAAAATAATTTCAAAAGAAAAAAGAAGCAACACAAGGTCGGTCCACCACACTTTATATAAAAATCTTCAGTAAAAAGTAACCAGTACTCAGATAATGGTACCTGAATATTATTATATGACAATAATGAGGACAAACCTTTTTTTTGAAAATACCAAACAATATGGGACTCAACATGTAAAACAATAAATGATGATTCTATACGATTTTTGTCAACGGGTTGGAAGAATCTGGAGCATTTCTACATCTTCTCTGAATTTCTTCCATATCATATTCAACCTTATCAAAGCCAGTTTTTTTTGGCCCTTCAGTACATTTAAAAAAGATCTACAAATGCTCCAGATTCTTCCAACACGTTTACGAAAATCGTATAGTATCATGATTTATTGTTTTGCATGTTGAGTCCCATATTTTTTGGTATGTTTGTGCGAAAAGTGATACTTTCCCGCAATGCCGTTGACGGACAAGCAGTCGAGTGCGGGAAAGACACTTTCCGCATGAGTTAGGAACAATATTTTTTCTACAAGCGTTGGAAATTGATTGATTTGTTCAATCAATTATTCCTGCAAATAGGAACAACTAACAATAGTGATATATTCTCTATCTTCTAATGTAATGAATATATTGTGTGTACCGTTTGAAGCCTTATGTAGGTAAGCTTATTGCGGAAGCCAGCATGCCCATGGTGTTTGGCCTCTAGGTTACAGACATTTCTAGGAAATGAGCCAAAAATACTTCTTCTTTATTTGGTGATTCCACTTTTTTACTATTGCTCCATTCAATAAATCCCGTGTAGTGCTTGTCATACCTTTCTTGAGACTTCGTTGGCAATAACTTATAAATTTCCATATTGTGCCACCCACCACTCATATTTTGCGAAAATATTATATAAATGTTCTTCCCGCACTAGTGTGGGAACACTTTTCCCGCACTACTGCGGGAAAATGACACTTACCAAACTAAATTGCGTGCGGGTATAGGGTGAAGCACGCACGCTTGTAGAAAAAACATGTTTCGTCCTCATTATTGTCATATATATTTTAGGTACCATTGTCTGATGATGGCCGTAGTCCCGAAACCAGTCACTTTTTACTGGAGATTTTTATATAAAGTATGGTCGACTGACTATATGTTGCTTCGTTTTTCTTCCAGTCCGCAAAAATTATACACACCCATTCTCCCTAGGAACGCACGATGTTCTCTGAACATTATAGGGATTCCCTTTCGTGCGCTCCAAGCGATAAAAAAAATTTATAGAGTGCAGTGTAGGTTAATTATGGTAACCGAAATATAATCAGTCCGTCTCTGTGTGATAAGGAATGATGAATGCTATAAAATGACTATAACAAATTGATCATCAAACATACTACTTGAGACTAGACTAAATTGCTTTAGAACAATAGCAAATGCTATGGAATTATGTGATTCGTTAGGTAGGAAGGTAGATAATATACCGACTGTGTGTAGTCGAGTGTACACATACCAATCAGAAATAAAACTGGCAAATTAGAAACATGTGCTCGCTCCAGTATTATGTGATATTTCCCCTACTTATTCTGAACCAATTAGTTCCTGTGACGAACTTCAAAGAAGGTGAGCATCAACATCATATTATTATTAAAGAAGATTTGAAATTATAATGAGACGAACAAGCAAAATCACCAAAAATTATATCTAATATACCATGAAGTATTATGGTGCGGTTGTTAAACTTTCGTTTCTGTATTATAGGTTATGTTTACATTCAGATTCCTCACTTTTGCCCAGGGGCGTCCGCGTGGAGAGGCAAGTGCCCCCCCCCCCAAGGCGCTTGGCCCTTACTCAGATACATTCTCAATAAAATAGATTTGATGTATCCAATCCCTATTTTGTTTTTTCACTTAAATGGGGCTTACAAATTCGACTTACAAATTTTTTTATTCCCATGTTTTATATAGAATAAATATAGTTATTTTTGTATCTAGTGTGCGAAATGCTATAAAAAATAGTCTAGATGACCAAAGTATCTCGCGCACTAGTTGCAAACGTCAAAAAAATAGTTCTAAAGTAGCAATATGCTTAGCTCAATATAAAAAATAGTGTTGAACTGGCTCAAAAGGCCTTAATTATTGTTTTACATTCATAAATAAATGATTTCTCATATGTTTGCTCGATTAACGATAGAGTTTAAATACAGTTGTTGACAATATACAATGCGCCAACCTTTTCATTTTTTGACGTTTGTAGGAAAAATGCACCTAAAGTTATTTGTTTTACTCGGCAGAAAATTGGTAGATTGACTGCCGCGGCTGATAGTTATTCAACCAAGGCAGTCAATCTACATTTGTTGCCGTGTGAAACATATTTTTTTTTTTCAAATGATATAAAATCAATTTTGTGTAGTTTTTTTATTGAAAACATCATCATTTTGTGTTCACCCAATGTCAGAGTCAATTTTGATTACTAATTTCATTTGAATTTCTTGGAACATTGCATATAGCAACAAAATTCTTCTGCCTAGGCAGTAGAAGTACACCTTTTCTGCCTGTTAAGCGGCAGGAGAGAGCCACTATCCCTGTCGCTTGGAGAGAAAATCAGTTCTCGATCCCCTAGGTAGCATTTTGGGCACTATAGATACATAAATAACTATTACCTACGGCCCCTATAGAAAGTAGGCAAGAACACACGAGATTCAGCCTCAGTGAGTAGCTCTTTACGCACAGTAAGCACATCGCACAGATTTCGTTTATTTTGCCAGTATAGGTATGTCATTAACGCGTAATCGCCGTCAACAGCAGACGACAGAACTGTCAAGAATTATAATTCAGACTGTTTGTCTGATGTTTTGATGTACTATATGGCAGTAGGTAAAGTATAGTACATAATGCGTGTTGTAAAGCAATTACGCACTCATGGAATTACGCACTCGCCGCTTCGCGGCTGCGTGCGTACCTTTTCCATTCGTGCGTAATATGCTTCTTACAACACATACTACGTTATATACTAATTTCAATAGGTATTAATCAAATACTGTACGAGTACATTATTATTGTGACTTGCCCCATAGATTAACGACTCCCCGTTTTCGTTCGTCTTTTACAAGAATTTTAAATGTTTCGTGACACTGTATGTCTAAAAAATGTTACATCGATTATCAAAATTTCCTCCTAACATCATAGTGGTCATCCTCAAATAGTGTAAGTATCATTTGTACCATCGTAGTTCTTGAAACCAATTTCGTATTGAATAACTCTTTTCCAACATCACACTGACGTATTTGTCATCTAAAAGGGTTCGGACAGATCATAGCTCCTTCCTCTGTTAATCATCTAATGACTTTGGTTTCGTGTATTGACGTCCCTGAGATGACATTGCTGTCACGTCACATTCATAGGCGTTGAAAGAAAAAATGAAGTGACTAAATGGGTAAAATTGGTAAATACATCACCAAAATATTCGATGGAAGGATCAAAAGAACAGGCATATGCCCTACCATCAAAAACTTATACCTACATTCAAGAAATATTAAGTGCTCGTGAAAACCTGCAAAAATCATTCCCAACATGAATATATACAGCACACATGACATATGAGTACATTAGCTTGAATACCTACATAACATTTTTCACAATTTCTCAACCATAAGGCTTAGTCTGAAATCAAAATTCATTTATTGATATAGGTACTGCCTAATAAGAACAGTCCCATTTGGTAAAACGTATTAAACTTTCAGGAAAATCATTTGGATATAATATGTACAGTTGAATGAGAAATTACATGTGGAAATTATACGTATGATACGCCAATGTCCTCAACGTAACCTGAAAAACAACAAATGTCAGAAATCTAGTGTTTATCCGTTGATTGATATATTACGCTTAAGCCGTTGATGCTTAAGCGTAATATATCAATCAACGGTTTATCCCTAGAAATGAATAAAGATGGAACTATATATAACTGGTTCACAAACACTTTAGAGTGAGAGGAGACGAGGATTTGTCCGTACCCTGTTCGGATGACAAATACGTCAATTTACATCAAGGGACCCTAACTCTGCCCAAAATAAATAGTTATTTATTATACAAGGGAAAAAAGTAGTAGATTTTAGCTCCAAAAAACCGTGAGCTAAAATCTAATATTTTTCCCGTGTATAATACACTATTTTTTTCTGTGACAGAAGGAAGGACGAATCAATATTGAGAAGATATTACATTATTTCGAAATCTGAAAATTATCGACGTGAAATTTCAAGTTTTTAACAGTAGGGACACCTGCGTTTTATAGGCATCTTTATCATTCTTTTGAAGTAATCAAATATCTGATGTCACTTCTGTCAGTTCAATTCTGTGATTTGATTTTAAAAAATTGCGAATTCAGTAGTTGTTTAGTAATATACGAAACCGCGAAGTCGAATGGAAGATAAAAGGACTTGCAGTTCTTTCTCGGAGACGGTATTATTGACCCATTTTTCGGAACTATAGCACAACAAAAGCCATTAACAGAGTATATATATGTGATATATATCCGGGAAAAAAGTACTCACTTTTTTCCCACGGGAAAAAAGTAATTTATGAAAAGTGACATTTTATAACCTGCCAACAGAGATAAAATGCCAAACTTTTTTCCCGTCACAGAAAAAATATTGTTTTCTCTCGATCGGTTTTTCATTGAAGTTGAAAATGCAGGGCTACATCGCTAAAAGTGACAAAAGTGGAATGTTTGATGAAATATATATTCCATTTTTAGATAATGATTTAGAAGATAATTTACGGTATGAAAATATTCAGCAAAGATAAAGTCTGGTCGGAAGCTGACTCTGCATTCTGGATGTCATCGCATTGTCTAAATAGACAGGTCCGGCTTCAGGAACATAACTGGTGTATATAATGATATCAAACTACCAATACCAAAGACAACGCTTACCAAAAATTCTGTGATTTACGAAAGCAAAAAAATTTATAATCATCTGCCACAGCATTTTAAAGCAATCAAGAATTTGAAAAAATTTAGAAAAAGTGTTTCGGATTATTTCTTACCAAGAGCATATTATCACCTACAGGAATATTACGATGAGACTCATATATAGGTATTTCAGCAAGATAATTATGATTTTATTACTTTTTCTTTTAATGGTGTTTGTTCAAATTTACATAATGTACCTATTTGTATTTTTTCGTATGTTTATACAATGTTGACTTCTTTTGTTTCTATATATGTATACATATTATTATATTACTTCCTACTGTACACAGTGGAAATCCACTAGAATAATTTTAAACCATGCTCTGTCAATGACAAATATTATTCTTGGATAATAAAGGACAGTATTGATTGATTGATTGATTGATTGATATTGAATGATGAAACATGCTAAATATGGGCCTATCTACTTTAACCGTTTATCCATCAGTGCCCATGTCAAAATTATTGAAATAGTCTCGAATTCGCGATAGAAAATAAGCGTACGCCACCTATCGGAGTTCTTGAAAGCTGTCAAAGCGGCCTGTTTACTTTGTTTCCATTGGTTCACATTTGTTTTCTGTTTGTGCTTATTGGTCGCATCATCAAAACAACCCGCTCAGAAGTGTTCAAGTTATTGCCGCCAGGTAGGGCGACGTGTTATTTTCTATCGCGAATAGGTTGAAGAGGAATAGGTTCTCAGCAAACTCAGATATAGATTGTATTTCACAACAGTCTGACAGGTTTGACAAGCAACAGAACTAAAATTAAATAAAGTGCTAATATCATAAGCATATTCGCATATTTTGATCTACTCTATGTGATGATATTTATGATTTGAACACCCAAATGGCTTTCAGTTCAACTTGTCTTGCTAACAAACTTCAAAGTTTCTTAGCAACATGAAAGGAAACTATACCGCATGTATATCAAATTCAATAGACGATACTGAATGGTTTTTTGTCATAAGGTAGATAGTAAAACATTGGCTGTTAAGCATATTATTGACATTTTGAGGAAGACCAAGCCCACTGGAAGAATTTGGGTGCTGAAGAATTGCAGGAAGCACTCAACAAGGATGTTATAGAAGGGGTGGCGAAAAATGTTATTCTCTTCGTCGCTGATGGAATGGGCCTCACCACATCAACAAGCGCCAGGATTTACGCCAAAAGAGAAACTGGTCATTTGGCTTGGGAAAAGTTCAAGAATATCGGAGTTCTGAAGGTGAGGATAAATCATATTTCAGGCAGTCACATGGAGTGTTCACATCTGTGAGATTCAGAAGAAAAACAAAGACTATGTCATGAAACTGTAGCATAAACAATCCATCAGTACAGTGTGTCCAGATTTCGATGCTTCTGATATATCTCAGTTATCTATGGAAATAGAACCTTGCGGTTTTTACGGTACTGTGCCACTTTTTCATGAAACTCAAGATGGCCTAACCAGATTGTGCATAACTGTTTCCATTCATGAAATACTAAGCGATTTTGAAAATTTATACTTCCTGAACCCCCTCTATATCTACGAAGCGAAAATGTCAGATTGGAATCTTATCCTATTCGCGAGATTCACGAAGTGGGCGACATCTTAGTTACATAAATACGAACTTCAAACTGGGGGAAAACAAACTGTTGTCTATGGATGAAGTGCATAAACTATATATTGCCTTCAGCTTGCTGTAGCTGTAGTCAAACTTGTCAATGACATAAAGTGTTGGCACTGTTGGTAGTGATGATGGTTGTGTTGGTTAATTTTTTTACATTATCACATTTTTATTAGTTCAGTGAACAGTGAACGGGCGAAGAATTGGAGATAGTTCAAACAATTCAAACTAATTATGACTAGCAAATCGATTTATATACAGGGTGTCCCAAAATTGCTGGGACACAGAGCTACCGCGTGTAGAGGAAGTCAAAATAAGTTGATTGGACCCAATTTATTTATGTGCCAAAATGTACCGTTTGTCCGTGAGAAGGGTTCAAAGTACACTTGAAAAAACACATTTTTGTACGCTGTTCAGGAATGAGTGGAACGAAAAGAATTCCTCTGAAATACACTATTGCCAAATTTCATCAAATTCGTTCCACTCATTCCTGAACAGCGTACAAAAATGTGTTTTTTCAAGTGTACTTTGAACCCTTCTCACGGACAAACGGTACATTTTGGCACATAAATAAATTGGGTCCAATCAACTTATTTTGACCTCCTCTACACGTGGTAGCTCTGTGTCCCAGCAATTTTGGGACACCCTGTATAAAAGAACAGCTACAACATGTTTACAATACCCAGATTGTCCTGCTTTGCATGAACGAATACAAATCCATTGTTCTACAGGAGTTCCTCTGGAAACCAACTTCAATTTTACTTCATATGGGGAAGATTTCATCGCCGAAGTTTGTAGAGAAAGTGCAGTAATGTGCCTTTTGTTGAAGTCTTCTGCCTCACACAAAATCACTGATGCGATTGAGTGAGGATTGTGTTTGTTGTCCCCCAGTTTTGACGTGGCTTTGACATGGAACGATGAAAACCGAGCGCCACCTGTTAACATTGATTTCCGCGAATAGTGAATTTCACGCAAAGGCCAGTGGCGCACTCAATTTTTTTTTCGGGGTATGGTTTTGGAGTTACGACTGAAACTTATGATTCTTTAAAGGGAACACCCTGTATTTCATTAGCTTATTGAATTCGATTTTTTTCTCCCTTCAAAATAATATATAATGTATAAATATAAAATTCTCGAAAATGCTCCGAAATGACTAAAACATAAAATTTTAATAGTGGGTTATGGATTTTTCATATAAAAAGAGTATTTTTCCATGAAGAGGTCAAGAACAATACCAACACTAATTACCTAACAAAACACAAAAATTAAGTACCTGATTGCAACAAATAAATAGTAATAAAAAGTTCATAATGTAGAATTATCACCTGATGAAATATTCACTGAAACAATTGAATTTCGAAATCATTCAGTAGCTTCCTCATTAAATTGTTCAAATTGATGTCAATTTTTTCTAACAAACAATGGACACACTCTCTGAATACGTCTTAATACAGTAAGAGGCACAACAATCTTGAACAACTTCCTGCAACAACAGACAGGAATTACAAAGAAATCCTTTGATGATTTTTAATGCATTGAGACGTATTTAGAAAGTGTGTGAGGGAAAATGGACATCAATTAGAACAATTCAATGAATAAGTTACTGATTAATCCCGATTGTTTTGGTAAATATTCAATCAGGGGTTTATTCTATATAATAAACTTTTAATTACTATTATAGTCATCAATTAGTGTTGGTTATGTTCTTGTCTTCATCATGGAGAAATCAAAGGAAATATTCCTCCAATTGGAACTTTTTTATATAAAAAATCCATTGACCACTATTCAAATTCAATGTGTTAGTGATTCTGGAGCATTTTCAAACATTTTACATTCATACATTATATATCATTTTGAAGGGAAAAAATGTGGAATTCAATGAGCTGAAAATACAGGGTGTTTTATTCAAAGAATCATAAGTTTCAGTCGTAACTCCAAAACCATACCCCGATATATGGACACACTGTACATAAGATTTCCGATTCTGGATGAGCCCTCCTCCTCAATTCCGTATTTTCCTATTTGATTATTCTCTTCTCGTAACACAGAAGTTTTCTTAAAATATGTCCTGTTGGTAATATATTTATTTATCTATAGTTTTCTAAAGTTAGGGTTTATTATACGTCTGAAAATCCATTTCAATACCAAAATTCTTCCTACTCCATATGTATGACCATGTTGCAAATTAACAATGGTAAAAATGATGAAGTTCACACTGTAATTCCTGCCAGAATTCCGATCTCATCCCACAAGAAACTAGAAACTTTAGACGAAGTGACAGTCAACGCTGTCTGAAGTTCATAGTCCAACTAATATCCTAAAACAGGAGCTTTTTTCCCAATAAGGCAATCTGATTAAATTCACCCAATATATCTAATAATACTATTCCTATATAGTCCATCTCGATATTGTCACAAACTGTAGACGGGGGTTGCCTAAGCTATGTTCTAGATACATCAGATAATGAACTTAATGATAAATAATACTCAGAAGGTTTTCAAACAAAACATACACACACATTCATTCTTGGCAATGAATATCAATGAAATCAAAACTTAATTTGCCCTATATGCACAAATTATCTGATATTTCTTGGAGCCTGAGGAAGGGCATCTTCTGTTCTGCCCGAACTCCGAAGAAGGTTCGGGCACAGTGGCAACTTTTCAAACTTACAATTGATAGAACTCGAACTTTCCTGACTCGTACTTAAAAAGCAGGACTAGAACTCGAACTGTCACTCGAACTGTGGAGCCCGCTTCTTTAAGTCTTTCAAATAGTTGTCTATATTTTCGGAAACGTGATAGTCTAAGAGCCAGCGCCAAAAAGATTCTCTGAATTTACTATAGTATATTATGTAACAAGTGTTATAAACGTCCTTTTAGTAACGAGTAGTTTAATCACGAGCGGAGCAGAGCGGAGCGAGTGTTTAATAAACGAGTGTCTAGAAGAGTTTATAAACGCGTTACATACTATGATTTTTCTACGAACTCCGAAAATTACATTAACATACCTGCAATTCCTGTTAACCTACAAAATAATTCGAAGGGAATGGGAATTGAGAACATAATACATGCAACTGCATGCAACCAGCGAGACACGTATAAGTGATATTGGTTGTAGATGTGTCCAGTCCATTGCTTACTAACCTTTGTTTCACGTTTATTGTCATGCTTACACTTCTTGGAGATATGCAAGTACCAGAACATTCTCTTCGATTTCACTCTCGTCTACTTTTCGCGTATATTTTTAATGAAGAATTCCGATACAAACGAATATTGTTTGAATAATTCTGATACAAAATTCGAAAATAACAGTTGACAGTTAATACAATTGACAGGCCAGACATGTCTCAAATTACTGAAGCTGTGTTTAATGAACTGCGTTGCCATGGTAATGTGTTTGAGAAATCGTGTTGCCATGGTAACGTGTTTAATATTTTGAATAAATCACAGATCGACAATCCGTGATTAATCGATCATTTAGCGTGGTACATATCCGTACGCTAAATGCCATTTTAGTTACCTATGTGAGTAGAAAAAGTCTGTTTTTGTACACAAACCTCGACACAAACATACTGCGGAACAGGTGTCCCTAGTATACTATCGAAGTTGTCGTTCCTACCGAGGTAATGCAATGAATTTAGTAAGGCTGAAAATCATTACTCATGATGAAAGTCAGTCAGCTGACTGTGGAGACGGGAGCTGGTCAGTCAACCCCGATGTATACAAAAAATAAATGAATTGCAATTCATTTACTACACTTCGAAATTCTCTGGGCACCCGGTATTTCCATAGTTACCTTTTCGTACGTTACACCCTCTTCCAATTTCGACGAAATAAATAGGAGTATGTGAACATTATGAGATTACCGTATAGGCATCAAATAATAACCAGTACTTTTCGAATTATCTTAAAAACAAATGATTTTATCGAAATTTTACAAGAGACAAAAAATATTCAGAAATGATTGAACATTTGAAGAAAAATAGATAGGAAGTCATTAGCGCACGTATATAAAAAATATGAGGGTAAGTGTGTACTTGACCCCTAGTATTTTGAATATTTGACAGTTATTTTTTGTTTTGTTTTCCTCACACGATGTAACTCTTTGTGCCGAAGTGATGTACCAATTTTGAGATAAATATCTTATTGAATACGCGAGTAATTGAAAAAAAAACAGTTTTTAATTTCCAACTTTAACACCCTGTATATCGAACATGAAGGGCTATAATGAAAAATGGTATCTAGAAACCCATATTGTTTTTGTTCAAGGAATATATGGTTAATGGATTGACCTCCTTTTAGCGGACACCCTTTATATGATTAGCCTCGTTGGTATGAATTCAATGTATTCATGCTGATATCGATACCCAATATAAATATACTAATTTTTTATAAGAAAGACAGCATTATTTGATGATACTGAACTGAACTGACTCTACATGGAATCTTTTCGCTCTTTGCAGACATACTCTGCAAACAAATTGGTTCCAGATTCATGCAGCACTGCAACAGCTCTTTTTTGCGGAGTTAAAGCCAACCACAAGACTTCCGGTGTGGACTCGACAGTGGATGTTGACGACTGCGAGGCTTCTTTGAAAAAAGAGTCTAATCTCGAAAGTATTTTCACCTGGGCCCAAGACGCTGGAAAATCTACAGGTACCTAATGGAACTGTAATGTGTAATGATCAAATAAAATCAAATCAGAATTCGCTTTATTGTCGTAAGAAAGGTGATTCTCATTGACAAAGCATATAGGTTAAATAAACATGATGAAAGATTTACGGTAACAAATACATAAACATTAGAGAATAAGTCAAGAAAGCAGTGAGCTCTATCACAATATAGTTGAAAAACAAAAATAAATAACATATAACAAAACAGTGCTTCAATGACTAACTAACAAAGTAAAGGACAACAGAAATGGCTTTATTGTCGAAAGAAAGGTGATTCTCATTGACAGAGCATATAGGTTAAATAAAAATGATCAAAGATTTACGGGACCAAATACATAAACATTAGAAAATAGGTCAAGAAAAACAATATTTGGAGCAGTGGGCTCTATCACAATATAGTTGAAAACCAAAAATGAATAACATATACTTTTCCTACGACTACTACTGTAAGTGATGGATATTGTACACAAAACAATGGCAGTAAGCTTCTCCTTACACACGTGTGCGTAAAGAGAGCGATCGCACGGTTTTCATAGGTATGTTGATAGATGACTTTGTTTTGTTGCTTAGGCGATGTGTCAATAACAATTAACAATTTTATTATTGTCACTAGCTGGGTGGGTAGGTAGTTATCTTTTTATCAATCAATCCAGCTATCCACCGAAACCGAAAGCATCAGGAAAGTTACATATTTTGAAAATATGATGAACATCAGATTATTTCTACACCACCAGGAATAATGGAAAAAGCTAGAATGGAAAAAAAATGAGTTGCTACCCGCTAAGTCTCGTGAATGAAACGAAATAGCACATCAAAAATTCCTGGACTGGAGAATTAGAAATAATACCGTGTCATTTTCGGAAAAATCCTTTTAGTATATTTTCAAGAATTATCAAATTCGATAAAATCATCATCACTGGTCGATACCATGTTACGATCAACACTAAATATCAATCACAATATTAATATAGCAACAACATATCCCATTTCCTCAAAAGGGAAGGATGGATTCCGAAGTAAAAAATCAAAAATACTTAATGCTGAACAGATCAATTATTTTCTGCAGAATGCTCCTGTTGAAGGTAATTTTTCAAATAACATACATACTCAACATTGAATTGATGAATTCCTTTTCCTTTTAAATAACAGGAATAATCAAAAAAGATAAATCTTCGAAATTATGTTAATAAAATATCTACCATTACGGAAAAACGGTGGTAGCTCAGTTGTTGGAAGCGCTGGCTCCGAACCAAAAGGCCGTGGTTCAGAGCTCAGTTGGAGCACTTTTTTTTGTTTTTAATAACGATTACAGAATCTCTCGTGCTGCACTGTTGCAAATAAAAAGCCATCATGAATGTTAATTTTATATTTTTATACAATGTGTTTTTTGCTACCTATTAATAAACCTGTTTAGATATGAAAAATGGCTCCATTTCATTTCGAATTGAGGAAAATATCTCGGTATGCAATGTATCAATGAACAAACACAAGATTTGTGATTTGTAACTTTTCATGCAGCTGGCTCAGTGACGGGAGACGTTTCATATTGGTATTCGTTATTTGTGCCTTAATACGATATCTGCACTATCCGGAAGGAAATATAGTGTAGTCGTAGAAAAAGTATAGTACAATACTCGAGTTGTAAAGCAATTACGCACTTGTGGAGTTACACACGATGCCGCATAGCGGCGTAATATGCGTTTTACAACTCTTGTTATGTAATATACTATTACATAATAGTGCGTCAATCACTAACTAACAAACTAAAATGAAATGAAATAAATGTATACAAGGTGATCCACGGTGGATGGCCTATTAGAAGTATCTGAAGAACGAAAAGACAGAACATTCTGAAAATTGAGATGATTTGATAATTGAACATTTTCTATCCGTCTAAAATATCTGCATCGATACAGTGTTGCCACTTCTATCAGAAAAAACTAGCAACTTCGTTATTTTGAATGGAGCACCCTGTATTTTATTGCATTTTTAGATTCTTCCTGAAGAGCTGATTTCATCAATGTATCCCACTTGGTGTCTAGCAGAGATATAGGGTGTTAAAAATCGAAATTTTTCAATTTTAGTATTTTTTTGTGTCGAAACTATTCATTATCGATCAAAACGGATCACATGTCCCGCTCTCAACTTTCGATTCACTATCTACTGACATTTAATTGGAACAGATACAGGGCGATCTGAATTCTGAATCTTGAAGCACCCTGTATTTTAGATAGTGAATCAGAAATTAAGATAGGGACATGCGAGCCGTTTTGATGAAATCAGCTCTTTAGGAAGAATCTAAAAATGCGATAACATACAGGGTGTTCCATTTGAAATAACAAAGTTGCTAGTTGTTTCTGACAGAAGTCGCAACACTGTATCGATGAAAATATTTTAGACGGATATTCAATTATCAGTTTTCAATTATGATCAGATTCTATTCAGAATTAGTATCTGGGGGTTTCCAGACTCGCAGATAATGATTCTTTCATCAAAATCTGGAAATACAAGATGGGAGATCCAATATGGCGGGTGAGTTTCGTAATTATGATGCGATTCCAATCAAAATTTGTATCTGGGGGTTTCGGGATTGCAAATTATGATTCTCTAATCAGAATTTGGAAATTCAAGATGGCGAATCCAATATGGCGAACGGGTTTTGTAATTATGTTCCAATTCTATTCAAAATTAATATATGGGTGTTGTCTTGGTAGGAGATTATGATTCTTCCGTCGAAATCGAGAAATTTAAGATGGCGGAGCCGATAAAGCGAACAAGTTTTGTTATTATGATCCAATAATTCTATTCGAAATTGGTATCTGGGATTTTCGGGGTCGGAAATTATGATTCCATCGTCAAAATTAGGAAATCAAAGATGGCGGATCGAAATTTGTATCTGGGGGTTTTCGGGGGCAGAGATTATGATCTTTTTCTTCAAAATTGGGTAATTCAAGATGGCGGATCCAATATGGCTAACTGCCTTCGTAATAAATATTAGTTTGAAAAACTATAATAAAACACGCTTTAATAGATAGCCAAACTCGGGGCCAAACTGAAAAGAAGTAGAAAATTGATAGTATCGTTTGAAAAACTGAAGAGATAGATTGTCGAACTAAAAATAAGTAGAAAATAAATAGTATAGTTTGAAGAACTAAAAGAACGCGATTTAATGGATAGTCAAACTAAAAAGGAGTAGAAAGCAAAGTAACAGAAGTGTGTTGATAAAATATTCAACTAAGAAAATATTTTCTAGAAATAAATGTGTATATATAGCAAAACAACGTTTGCCGGGTCAACTATTGCAATAAATAGTAGTTTGAAAAACTAATGAAACATCACACTTTCATGGATAGCCAAACTGAAAAAAAGTTGAAAATGAACTAACAAGAGATTGTTGATGAATATTTAACTAAAAAAATATTTTCTAGAAATAGTGTTCATGGCAAAACAACGTTTGCCGGGTCAGCTAGTAATTATATAAATATTTGCTCAAACGGAAAAAGCAACGACAGTCAACACTGCTGCAATTCTTCACTACTTCAATTATCATCCTGTAAGCCTTAGATCTTCAATCTGGAATATTTGTAGATTGCTCAGACGAGTAACCGAATGATTGATCTAGCCAACTGTGGAACTGGCATAGAAATCAGTTATGGGACTCATGAGTATTTCGATTTTGAAATCGGCCAATATTTTGGATCACGACCTTTATTTTGTTGATCAGCTTTGAATAATCGATCAAAAATATTGGAAAATTGCTCCACGGTGATATCAATTCTGAATCATAACAATTCAGATTTCCAATTATAGCACAAAATCTTGATTCTGCAAAGAAGTTTAACGTTCGAAGTAGTAAAAGAGATGAAAAAGTGAACACTTACAGGATTTGTGACCACGACCAGAGTGACACATGCAACACCTAGTGCTTTGTATGCACACACCCCCAACAGGAATTGGGAATGTGAGGGAAAAATACCTGTAGCTGCATCAAAATGCAGGGATATTGCCAAGCAGCTTGTGGAAGACTCGACGGGGAAAAAAATCCAGGTGAGATACATACAGTTGGTCAGATATATGACTCATCCAACGACAAGGATATGTTCCGTAAATCAACCGAGATTACCGATGCTTTCAGGGCCGGTACCAACAATTTTGACAGTGGTACTGGTTACAACGGTTCTAGTTTATTTACGGAATGCCAGTCATTTGTCAAATTATAGGTTTGTTCATTTATTGAACATTCATGCTCTGCCCTAATTCTTGTGAACAGTAAGCACAGGCAAAGGATGTACTGCCCTGTAATAATGAAACGTCATCAAATTGAAAATGTATCGATTATGGATGTACCTCAGTGAACGATTCCATCGGAACTTGAAGCAATAACTGAAATTAGAATATTGTTTTCCGTTGTAAATCGAAAAATCAAACCGGAAACTAAAACACGTCAACGTCAAGGCAAACTTACCAAACTCACCAGAGGAAATCGATGATCGTTCTGGTGTCAGTGAATCTACCGCTTTTTCAGCAACCGAGTTCCGTAAAATAAGCTGTTTTTCATGAACAAACCGAACATTTGATATTAGGGAAACGGAAAATTACTGACCGAAATAACCAAGTTGATTCACGGAACATATCCTGAATGCAACCGACACAAAAATCGTCCATTTTAACACAAAAAAAGCTCTGGAGCTGACGTTTCTATTATTGACACAAACATAGGTAAGTTGCAGGGCAACACTTCTAGTTCCTGGGAGGTAAAGTTGAACTCTAGCTCCTAGGAACTGAAGAGGATGTACTTGGTCATCAAGAATAAACAACATTGTTATGGTTGGTTATTTGGGTTGGGGCGCATACCTGATTTGTGTCCGATTTCAGCAGATTTGGCATTTTCATACCCATGCTGCAGATATAAATACACCATATTATTATAGATCTGACCTGTCCTGGAATACTGTTCCCATAATTGGAGTGCAGCACCCAAACATACCCTGAAACTGTTGGATTTTGTCAGAATACTGTTGAGTATTCTGTGGCCTCGCTCACGAACTCCTTCCGAAAACGGACCCTCTTATGACGTAGAAACCTCATCTCGCCATAGTTAAAAGAACATACCAAACGCCCGACGGAGACTGAGGCAACTGATATATTAATTGTTTCAACTGTGATCTCGCGCTAATTCACTCTGTCAGAAATCATATATCATTCATCTCTGTCTGGAATAGTCTTGTTTCAGTATTAGGGTTTTGACCTCACATCATCGCCTCGTTTTCAGAGGTCCGAAAAATCGGGGATTTCAATAATTTTTTATGAAACGTAAGGAGCTCACAGCAAGAAACGGTTTGCGGTGGTGAGATAGTTTGGGTGAGTTCTATCGAATTATGAAATAATTTTTTTTTGTGATATAAGCCTATTGTTCCTTCCTTTTCGCAGTCTCCGTGTACTCCGTGAGATTAACCCGTCGAGTTGAGGCTTCGCACCCCTTCGTGGTCACTTTGAAGACCTGCAGAACATCTCTTTCCAAAGACTTGTTAATCCAACTAACAGCGAGGCTCTGGAACACCATCGAGGTGTTCTCCGAGGCGTGTATCCTCCAGAAATTCAAGAAGAACACCAATTCCTACCTTATTTCCGTTGGTTCTCACGATGTTCTATGAACATTACAGGATATCCCTGTTCGTGGGAACCAGAACATAAGAAAAAGTAGAATATTCTTGTTTTGATCAGGAAAGACCTCTCCGAACGGGTACTCAGTGGAAATGACTGTGAGCTTTTCGGCTCTATTTCCTCTCATGTATAAGTTAGGTTTAATATACTGAAACTGTACGAACAAACCCTTCTGTCATAACAAGGCTACTAGCTAGTTTCTAAACTTTGGCTGCCAATAAACTGTTATCCCATTTTCACTCGTGCGGAACTCCATCTAACTTCCTGATGATTTTTTAAACTTTCAATTCCAACTGGAGTGTTTCGATTTCATACATACTTCCAGGGTTGTTTCAGGCACGTGCATGTTCATTTCTGTCGATGAACGTTGCTTCAACAAACAATCTAGTTATTATTAATAATAATGATGATAATAATATATAAAAAATTGAATTTGATCTGAATCAGATGATGATGGTTTATATCATTAGTACTTGTGAATTAATCACATATATTGTAAAATTGATTCAAACAGAGCGTGCCGAAATATAATGAATGTATGTGATCAACTAAAGATTAATAATAATATAGGTAATTACAGGGTGAGTCATAACTATTGGGAAATAGGCCAAGGTCGGATTGTTTGGACCAAAATATGGCGATTGGACCAAACATGCCTTGATAAAATATTTCTGTGAAAAGAGATACAGGGCGTTAAAGTTGATTTTTTTCTTTTTTTGTCGTTTTTTGCTAATAATTTCACTGTATATGGAATATATTTGAAAAAGTTTTGTGATTTGGTTGCTTTCTATCTAGATATTAGAGATATTACAATTCAAACCTTCTGGTTGCATCCTGCATTTATTCAATCATAGAATGATTTTGACGAGGCATTTCAATCGAAAAAAATTTGACTATAAACTCGCACCAAAATTCATTCTCTGACAAGAAATGCCATTACCAGCAACATTATCTGACAGTTCAAAGCACACTCTTTATGAATGAAATGATATTTGTAATTAACTTCTGAGACTCTGAACTGTTCAATAGCGTTTTTCTCGAAAACGAATGGAAATATCGTGTTCAAACAAGAGTACCAATATTACGTAGAAATAATGTTCAGGTCATATTTTTCAATCTGCACTACTCGAAAGTTTCGTCAAAAAAAGTAACCAGGTGATTTCATCATCAGGAATCATTCACGGTGCGCCCCCTGTATCAAAATGTAGATTACTACATAAAATAATATTTCCTGTATGAAATTATGCCTCTGTGCCAATTTTGATAACAATTGATGAAGATACAGTGAAATTATTGGCAAAAAACGAAAATAAAAAGTCAACTTCAACGCCTTGTATCTTTTTCCATAGCAATATTCTATTAAGGCATATTTAGGCCTATCGCCATATATTGGTCCAAACAATCCGCCCTTAGCCTAAGTCCCAATGGTTATGACACCCTGTATATAATAATAACTGAGTGTCAAAATATTTGTCAGTAGGTTATGAAATGTTTCGGTATATCAGTAGATCAATATGCAAATCAGGAGGTCTATGAAAAAATTTGTTCCATATCATTTGGAGAAATATTAATTATACAGGGTGTTTCTTGAGTACCTGTAGAAAATCCAGGAGCATGTTGCTGACGTCAAATTAAGAAGAAAAGTTTGCATGAATATATGTCCGAAAGTTATTCGTTTCTGAGATACAGAGTGTCAAAGTTGAATTCTTATTTTTGTTTTTTGTTAATAAATTCCAAAATAATTGTGATATCGGAATAGAATTTGGTATCTAGGGGTATTTTCCAATGACAATATCAAATGTTATGTTAGTTTGTCTCTTTCGTGGGAGTGGCGCCACCTACATGTCTTTTGAGTCTTTTGAGAAGTTATAACTTTTGTGCGTACCTGTATAACGTTTCATGTGGAAAAATAGATTTCCAGAACACTTCTGTGTAAAAAATATATTCTTGGTAGAGGTCGCTGCGAGCAACTGTTTTCGAGTTATTGGGATTCGAAATAATCGATGCATTCGAATTATTTCCATGTGGCTCGTAAGTCGCCTCTAGTGTATATTTCACGTGGTATGGAAGGAAATTCGATGCCTTGGCTGGTTTCCTATATCCTGGGCTATGAAACAACAGTCGTGGCATCGAATCTTGTATTTTTCTGCCTGGTAAAACAAATAACTATGGGTTGCGTGCAAAAACTGCCAGATGACCGACATTGGAGGTGAAACATTGGAACTCAACCTCACTTTTCTTATTTGTTTACAAGTGATTAAAATAGTTTTTCCGTCGACCTCGTATTAACGACTAAGTTTAATGTATATGAAATCGTTCATTAATGACCCCTATTAATGAACGATTTGTCTATTAATGCACGATTGCTTTATAGGCAACCAAACATACACCGCGTGCATTCATTGTTTATGCTATAACTTACGGAATCTGCATTTAAATCGAAAATATGGATTTCATCGTTACACCGTTAACGGGTTCGCCTTTCCAAGTTTCTGACACTATTTCAATCCCTGTTTTCTAACACAAGGAATTTATTTCCTATGTTGATCATTTCGACAAATGTCAAATATCACTAATGTCAGAAACAAGGCTACTGGGTGATTCTTAGCAGTTTCCGGATGGATGATGAATTCGCGAACCAAGTTTCTTTCATTGCAGGAGAAATGAGAAATATAGTCGACGGAAAAATTTTGTAACCAACTTGTATATTAAAAGGCGATTAATGATCTCTAACATTAACGCACTCGCTTCGCTCGCACGTTAAAATATCTCAATCATTATTCGCCCTCATTAGTACACTAGTTGGTTAAATAACTATTTCACAATTATCGAATCGTGTTTTTCGGCTATTCATTAAATCGCGCATATCATCACATTGTGCTGTTGTACAATGCACACAAAATGCAGCGGAAGACGAAGGAATCCTTCTAGTACAGTATGATTAAAAAGTAAGTACCTACTATAGTCACTCACATATAAATAGTTTTCATTTTTGAAATTTGATAATTTCTCTGATTTCTCATCGGAATTCCTTCTGTAATAGGAACTAATAGAAATACTCGTGAAATTCCTAAAATAATGCAAGAAGATTGGATTCATGGAATCCCTGGGATGTCACATTCTTGTCCCGCTAGGTAACAATACGAATTACGAGAAAACATCATTGGTATTGCCAGAGGACTCTTTATTTTACAAAACATTAGCAATATTCGTCACATTTCATCGGATTTGAGACTTGAAATGCAGGTAAATTTGTGAGCCTTCCTAACAACCGAGAGATTTACTGGAACCTCTCATTCTTGTCTAATTATGTAACAAACCGATTCAACCAATTTTGTTCAATGAGAAGTCACTTTATCCATATATACTGCGACTTTCATTTGGCATTCTAATGTGAATTATAAAAGGACCAAAAGGATCCGGAATAGCAGTCATTGTGATCTTAGTGGGACGCTCAATTCGAGTCACGGATATGATGTGTGGCATGAATGTAATACCCTCTAATATCTGGGATCAATCTGTGTCAACTGGGAAATATGACATTTCCAATCTTTTAGCAGTATTATCTTCTATTGCAGAAGTGCCAGAAAGAATTTCAATGAGAAATGACGAAATTTCATAATGAAAACTATGTGAGATTACTATTCACCTGAAAAATCATATTCCTCTTCGTCTCTCGCTGCATTTTTTGTGCATTGTACAACACCACAATGAGAAGGCATGCTTGATGAATTAATAAATAGCGCAAAAAACACGATTCGTATGCCAAAATATTGTGAAAAACTATTTCAATCCTTTGATTCCTCTGTAAACAAATTAAAAAGTGAGGTTGTGTTTCATTGTTTCACAGAAGAGTGAGGTTGCATGCATGCGACCAATAATAGGGAAACATCAGGATAAGTTGTAAGTTGAGCGCTTGATGAAGCGACGATATTTTGTACTTCTTAAAATCAATAAAATCATTGACTTTCCTGAGATAGTCCCTTAGATATGCTCTTTTTTTACCTCAGGTGATAATGGGTGGGGGAAGACAATGCCTGCAGTCAGAGGTGACCGAATCTCAGGCTGATCCGATAGATACTTGGTCTTGTTATAGCAGAGACGGCAGAGATCTGATCGGGGATTGGGAAAGAGACAAGACGGCGAATGGTTTCACTCATCAGGTCATCAGTAATAACGAAGAACTGCAAAATTTGGATCTGAATGCTGAATTCACTCTAGGTAGGTTTCATCGATTCCAAAAACATGATTTCTAGTCATTTGGTATTGAAATTCGTCCACTAGAACATTATCAATTATTTGAATGAATTAATGCAGCAGTATCAAAAATATTTATAAATAAATTAACAAACTAAGAGAGAAAAAAACCAACACACATGAATGTTATTCTGAATTCAAAAAGTGTTATGGGTGAGTATCATCGAGTCAAGATTATAATTGATAAATTCTTCAATAGAGTAAAAACAGTGAGCCAACAGATAACTTGCATATTTTGAACTGATTGAATCTTAATGTTTTAATTTGCGCTGTTAGTTTGTTGAATAAGTGTATTTGCAAGGAGTTTTGCTGAGAGACTAATAGTCTTTATTTGAGAGGTCTGAGTTCATATGAAGCCCTAGTAGACTGACTTAGTTACCAGAAGTTGAGGTATTGCTGGAGGAGGAGATACTTTTTGGGGTTTTATAATAATAATAATAATAATAATAATAATATGTCTTTATTCATATTGCCAAGAATATAATACATAATTTTTCGTCGTTTTGTTATTGGCAATATGTAAGGGCGGAATTCAGTCGCCCCTATCCGGAGATAATGGTGACTGCTCTTCCATCCAACCCATGATAAATCTTAGCATGTTCATGTTTCTCTTATTATTACATAAAATTGGTTGAGAATTTTGATTGAAGTGAATTTTAAATCTTACCAAATATACAAATTTTGTGTCATACAGAATATTTTAATTAAGTAGGTATGAATTAACTCTACAATGTAATACACCTATAAACATATTCATAATAAACTTGGAACACCAGATGAATAATAATAACAACAACAGAATAATAAAAAGGAAAAAAAAAACAAAAAACAAAAAAGAAGTTAAATTGAAGTTAAATTGAAGGCAAAGAGTTTTGATGAAGGCAACTAGGGTGAGAAAAACACAAGTGAGAATATCAGAATATTCATTTGGTACATCGTACAAATTATAATTCATCAAACCTACCCTCAAATAACATTTTTTTCAGCGAGGTCTTGAATTTAAATCTATTCATGATTTTCAGGGAGTCAGGAATGACGTTGTAAATTTTTGAAGCATTATATGAGAAGGATCGTTGGTAGAGTGATGTATGGTGCCTTGGAGGGTTGAGGCGATGCCTATATCTAGTGTTGAGTATGTGAACATTTTCTCTGAACTGTAGCTTTTCAAATAAATATAGTGGTGATTGTGATTGAATTAAATTATGAGTGAAACAGCACAAATGTAATATCCATCTTTGCTTCATCGTCAACCATCCGGTTTCTTTAATTTTATGCGCTATGGAATTTCGTTTTCTTACTCCATAAATCAGTCGAGCACAAGCATTTTGCACGAGTTGAATGCGATTTTTATCATGATTTGTTAGGCATGAATAATACACTATGTTGGCAAAATTAAAGTGGCTCAAGACAAGAGTATCACACAGTATTTGTTTTGTCTTGAAATCGAGAATTTTTGAAATGTTATAAATTAGTTTGAGATTGCAATAGGCCGTTCTGATGGTTTTTGTAACATGCCCACTGAATCTCAACTCGGAGTCCATTATCAAACCCAAATTTCTTGCGGAGTCAATTATTTCTAGAGGTTCTGAATCAATTGTTATATTCATTTGTTCCTGTAGCTGAATACGATGATTTTTATTCCCAAAATTCAACAACTTCGATTTTGAAGGATTGATGGTTAAACAGTGGTGTTTTGATGCCACTGATAAATTCTTGAGATCATCATTTAGAACATTACAAGCTTCATGTAAATTTTCGTGACTAAAAGAATAATAAATTTGCGTATCATCCGCATAATAGTGAGATTTGCAATGTGATAAATAAGTCGAAAAATTAGTTGTATATATCATAAATAGCAACGGACCTAAGATCGAACCTTGGGGAACTCCAGTAGTGAGATTCAGAGGTACAGAATACCTGTCATGAATTTTCACAAATTGGACGCGGTTAGAAAGATAATTCTTCATCATGCACTGTGCACTATTAGTGAAACCATTGTAGTGTAATATTGCTAGTAAGAGTTCGTGATTTATGCGATCAAACGCCTTTGAATAGTCCAATAGGACAAGTGTAACCAGACGATTTTCATCAATGGCAGAGAACAAGTCGTCCGTAACCTTCAGAAGCGCGGATGAGCAATTGTGATGGGGCCGAAAACCTGACTGATTGGCCGGTAAAAGTTTATGTATATCTAAGTATTCCCTAATTTGTGTATTCATAACTTTTTCTAAAATTTTTGACAGCATAGGTAAGATGCTGATTGGTCTCAAATCTTTCAGGTTTTTCGGACTACTGATCTTTGGAAGGGGAAGAACATGTGCTATTTTCCAGCAATCTGGAAAAATTGAATTTTCTATACAACAGTTAACTATGTGCGTAATATACAAAATGATACGGGGGCAACACAGTAAAATCATTCTCAAATTTATATCGTCTGGACCAGTTGCATTGGATTTAATTTCCAAAATATATTTTTTTACAGTTTCTACAGAGACTGGCCTGAAATAAAATGTGTCTGACCCTGCTTTGACATTATTGTCATAAAATTGCTTTGCTTTTTTATCAGGAGTGTTATTCTCCTGCTCAGTCCCTACAAAATGTCTGTTGATGACATCTGCATCCGATAGTTCAATAGGTAAGTTGTAACTGTGATCCTTTGAGCGGATATTGAAATTTTTCAGAGTTTTCCATAATGATTTATTTCCCCTATCTTCCCTCACAAGCTTTGAAAAATAAGACTTTTTTTGGTGTTCTACCGCCGAATTGCAGAAGTTTCTCATTTGCTTATAATACAGCCAATCTAGCTCATTTTTTGACTTTTTAAATTTTGTTAGGGCCTTTTCTTTTTGTCTCATTATCTCTCTGAGATCTGGAGTGAGCCAAGGCGCATATTTTTTTGTTATTCGAGCATTTATTACTGGAGCATGTTTGTTAAAATGGTTCAGTAGTAAGTCATTGAAAATTGCAATTTTTTCATTTACATCTTTTTTATAATAAATTTGATCAAAATCAATTTTTTTTAGGTCTGATTCGAACGCGTTCTGGTTAATATTTTTAAAATCTCTGTAAGAACAAAAAATTTGTTCAGAATTGCCAATGTTGAGTTTTATTTTACAGCTGACAAAACTGTGATCAGATAAATTCATAACGTCAAATGTCTTACATTCGATAATCTCCACATGTTCTGAACTCAGAAATAAATCTATTAGAGTTGCACTGTTTGCACCTACTCTAGTCGGTTCATTCACATTTTGACACAAACCAAAACTTTCAATCATGGAGTTGAGGTTTTTGAAATTATTTGTAGTAGTATTTAAAAAATCTATATTGAAATCACCCCCACAAAAAACATTATCAAATTGGAGAGTGACATTGTCCATAATTTCTTCCAGTGATTCAAGAAATTCAGCTACTGGCAAATGTGGTGCTCTATATAAAACTCCAATGCAATTGGTCGAATTATTGTTTGAGAATGATATCCAAATTTGCTCCGTATCACCTTGCAATTCTGGAAAATTCAGTAAGGAACTATTAATAGAAGTTTTGATGTATATAAGAACCCCGCCACCCCTTCCCATAACTCTGTCTCGTCTGTACATTCTATAACCGTCCACGGTCACCAACGCATCATCTATACCTGCATGAAGCCATGTTTCAGTTATCAGCACTATGTCATATTTTAGATTAATCAAGTACTCGCTGAAAGATAAGAATTTCGGAAAAATTGATCTGATATTAAAAACACCAATATTGCATTCAGTCATTGATCGTGTTTAGGGGAGGTTTTTTTTTTATTTTTGTTTGTCGGTACCAAAATGAATGAAAAGATAGTGCTTTATTGAATATTTTGAAAATCATTTTCATCTTGGTGAAGTTATAGGTGGTTTTAAGTAATCCAAGAGTGAGCCCTGTTTTTGGCTTGGAGAGCAAGATCATTGAGAGTAGTTCGGTTTGAGTGTGATTCAATGAGAGTTGGATCATCGGCAAACCAGATACAGCCAGTAGGGGACATAACATGGAAGATATCATTTATATACATGATAAATGATAATGGACCCAGAACACTACCTTGAGGGACACCATGATTGATGTTCTGGCGGTCTAAACAATTATTTTCAATAACTACAGGTTGTATTCTGTTCTGAAGATATGATGTAATTAATTTGAGGGGTATGCCTCGAATACCGTAGAATTCCAACCCAGCAAACACAATTATGTAAAATTGACATAAGTGTTACATAACTGACAATACGTGTTATGTAACTATGTTATGTAAGACTTACATCACTGTTATGGCGAAATGTCCGCCACAAATACTACGTGATTATTACGTAACAATTATGTCACTATTTTATATATATTTTATATAATTTCATTGCTATAAATAAGATGTTACGTATATAACAAACTGACATCAATATTACATAACATTCTCTAGATGTTATGTAAAATTTACATCCCTATTATGTAAAAATGTCAGCTACAAATATGACTCCATTTTAATATAATATTGATGAAACTACTTGACTAATATCTGAAATGAATATCGGAATTTCACGAATAACCTCTTCACTTCACTAACTCACTTCACAGGCATATGCACATATTGATAACTAAGTACAATCATCTCAGTAGGTGATCCAAACTCTACACTCCATAATATCTATACTGATATTACTGATGATGATATATGGTTATAGAAATGTGCATGAGAGTTGGAAGTGGGCTAGTGTGAAAAAGAAGTTATTTGGCAATTTTTGATTGTGTGGGAAAATGTAACAGAGACAGATTAGTCATAAAATGCTTGATGGTTTATTATCTCCTATATCATTCAGTATTCACTTCAATTCTCCTCATGTACAAAAAAACTCTGCTCGAAAATTTTTAAGACTTTCTGTTCCAAATATTATGCATTATAGTACACAGTATAATTGATCAGTTGCTAACTTTAAAACAAAAAAATTGTCAAAAAATTATAGACTGAATAATCTTCAAATCGAATAAAATGGAATGTCCTGAATAGAAGATGATGAAACAACATCAACTATCAAATGAAAAACATGACCTTTATTTTTCTTTGAAAATAGTGAGACCATTTATGTATACTTCAAGAGTTCAAAAAATCAAAATTGTGAGTAATCAAATTATATATTTCTTCTTGATCTCCCAATTCAACCCTCCATTTAACCTCTGGTGACTAAATCAGAACCACCTTCCTGCTGGTTTATCTATCAGAGTAAGATATCGAAGGGTGTGTGATAATGATGGAGTCTGAAAAAATATTGCTTTGTTTTTCATTTTTCAAATTAAAATCTAAAATATATATTACCAGATAATGATATTTCGATTGATTTCAAATCTCTGACTTCAATGTTTCCCCTCTGCCCTTACCAGGAACATTGTGTGGCCCCTATATAGATAGTCTCTCCCATCTTTACCACCTTGAGTTTTGAAAAGATGTACCTACCTGGAAAAGTATACATTTCAGGATTCATCTTATTGGGGTTCTTCATGAACTTATTTATGAAACAAAAAATGATAATCACTGACAAAATGATTAAATTTCCATAACCAATAGTAATAACTTTAATCCAGAATGTGAGGCACTTTGGGGTTTTCACTGGGGTTTTCATCAGCCATCATAATCAATCACTGGCTTTTGTTCATGAGAATTGGAGTTTGACCAGATTATACCTCGGATTCTATCAATACCTACCAGATTCATCATTTATTCTAGGCATATTTAAGAGGTCCAGGATAGATATTTAACTATTCCTTTCTTGTTGTTTTCACAGATAGGTTAGGAAAATCTCAAGGCATGTTTTATTTTCACTCACCTCCACTTATTCTTATTAACACTTTTACTTCAGTTTAATTCATCAAACACAGCAGGTAGAGACAAGAAAAACACTCGAAATAGTTATAAAATACCGAAAATGCCTTCAGTGTAGTTTGTTTATGGTCTCGTCTTCACTTATAATTATAACTCATAACCTCAAAGTAGTCGACCAATAGGAATTGGGCATGTGGGATGGGGGACCACTGCAGCGCAGAAAATTGGTGGAAACAAGAAAATCACTCGGAATAGTAAGAAAATACTGAAAATGCTTTCAGTCTCCAAGTCTTCACTCATTACTTATAACCTCAGAGTGGTCACGGAGAAACGCTACAGTGCGAGAGCGAAAAATAATAATCATCGCGGTGGGGGAACATTACAGCGCGAAACCACGGGTACTGATCATCCCAACGAATATCCTTAATTGACGCAGAATCAAGTCTGCAGAGAATTTACGGCCGAGAGTCCTAGTAAAGTCATGTAGCTATCATATAAGCTTTTATATTGATATCAAATTGTCACATATCATTTACATCATAGTTACGTTACATTTTTATATAATTATGAGGTTCACATATTTCAGAATTGTTACGGAATATTCACGTAAATATTTTATATAAATAGGAGGTTCACATATTTCAGAAGTATTATGGAATATTTACGTAAATATTCTATATAAAAAAGTTCCGTTGATTTTATATAATAGTGATGTAAATGTAACAGATGTGTTTGCTGGGAATTTCTCTAAGCTTATCGTGTGATACACAGTCGAAGGCTTTTGATAGATCGCACATAGTGATTTCTGTATGTTTTCAACTCTCAAGGACTTCGACTATGTTAGAAACAATTTTGCGTACGGCCTGAATTGTAGAGCAGTTAGGCCGAAAACCAAATTGACCGTCATGATGAGTGCCTCGTGCTTCTTAAAGAAATGAATAAGACGTTCCTTCAGAATCATTTGAAAGATATTTTTGATAATTGGAATTATAGAAATTGGTCTAAACTTTTGTGATTTTGAGATAATCTGGAAAGATTCCTTGCTGTAAACATGTATTCATAGGAGTGACTAGAGGTGTTGATATATCCCCCATTGTACCTTTAATGATTTTGCTATTTAGGCAATGTTCGATGCTTTGGTGATAAGTGGACTGTATATAATTATGATTGTTTGATAATGAACTGATGAAACGATGAATATAAGAGAAATTGCAATCGATTGCAATTTCCCCTCAACTTTATTGATTGATTATTTTGTTTCAACAACACGCCGTCATGTTAACAACTCAAATGTTATTTTTTATATAGGGTAATACAGTTACCCAACTGATTATATAAGGTGAAAGTACTAAACAGGCAATGTATTTCAAAACAATTTGAATGCCAATATCAGCACATACCTCATCATGAGTTACTGGTGCTAAGAAGAACGAATTTTTTGGTTTGGGCAATTTATTCAGAGAATCTAATGACGGTTGGTTAATGTCAGGCAAGCTTTTCAGGATATCTTCAGCAACATATCTATGCTCGGCATTTCCATCAGCAACACTCTTTCATGTGATAATCATGTAAGATCCATCGCAAAAGCTGCTTCACAAAAACTCGGATTCTTGTTCCGTGCGAAAAGCTACTTTACACCTCAACAGCTTCTCATGATCTACAAAGCGCAGATACGACCTGTTCTAGAATACTGTTCCCACATATGGGGTTCAGCACCAAAACATACGCTGATGCTCTTAGATTCCATCCAGAGAAGAGCCATTCGCCTGGTGGGTGACGCCACACTCACTCACTCTTTGACATCATTGGAACACCGTAGAAAGGTCGGCGACCTTTCACTTTTCTATCGATACTTCCACGGGAAATGTTCTTCGGAAATCTCTGCTATCATCCCTTCACTAGCAATACCAATCAGACGAACTAGACAAGCCCAGTCAGCACATCCTTTCGTTGTCAACCTCGAAAGATGTCGAACAGCACTTTATCAAGACTCCTTCATCCATAGAACGGCTAGGCTCTGGAATTCATTGCCTGTGGAAGTATTCCCAACAACATATAATCTCCAAAAGTTCCAAAAAAATTCCAATACCTACCTCCTGTCCCTATCCTCCCTAGGAACGCACGATGTTCTTTGAACATTATAGGGTTTCCCTTTCGTGCGCTCCAAGCGATAAAAAAAACATGAGTGAAAAATTTATAAGCTTCTATTGCAGAAAGAAGTGACAGACGGAATTCTGATGAGAAATCACAAAATTCCATGATAAAAACTATGTGTGACGTGAGATCACTATTTACCTGAAAAATCATATTCCTTCGTCTCTCGTTGCATTTTTTGCGCATTGTACAACAGCACAATGTGATGCTTGAATTAATTAATAGCCCAAAAATCACGATTGGTGTGGCAAAATATTGTGAAAAACTATTTCAATCATTCGATTCCTTTGTAAACCAATAATAAAAGTGAGGTTGTGTTTCAATATTTGACAGAAAAGTGGGGTTGTGTTCCAATGTTTTACCTCCAGGGTCATTCATCGTGCACATTTTTTCTAAAAAAAAAACACTAATACGGATTCTAGATTTTTGATCTATATACCTTTTCAACTTCAATTTCGGAATTGGTGAGTATTATATTTCGGAAAAAGTAATCTCCATTTCAGAATTCGTTAGTTCGATTTCAGAAATGGTGAACTCAATTTCAGAATCGGTGAGATGAATTTCAGAAAAAGTCCATTCAATTTCAGAAATGGTAAGTTGTATTTCAGAATTGGTAGGTTCAATTTCAGAAGATGAATCCCTATATATGTTTGAAATGTTTTCAATTGCAAAAGAGAGGATTGTTTACAGTGGATGGAACGGTGTTTGAGAGTGTGCGTTTGAAATGGGCATCCTGCAGATACCATAGTGGTAGTTCTGGATAATGCACCTGCATATTCAATAATAGAACAGATATGCATGGAGGAAGAATTTCAAGATGTTATATTTTACAGATGGGCACCTTACAGCCCTATGTTTAATCCGATTGAACATATATGGAGTGCCTTCAAGTCAGAAGTGAAGAGCTTTTTGCAAGAGCATCGCCAAAGGGTCATAGCTGAGGATCCGAACAGATTGCTCAACCAGATAGAATTCAGACTGCGATGTCTTGAAGAATGTGCAGATCATTCAATGAAAATGATAACACCTCAAATGTGTTTGCATTCTTATAATCATGTGCAACGCTACTATCCTTCTGCGATTCGGATAGAAGACATCTGTGGATCAAATTGAGATTATAATTATGTTATTGAATTGTTTTTGAGAAGTTGAATATTGTAAATATGGTTTGTTAATCTCACATGCAATTGGAAACATTTCAAACAAATATAAGGATTTATTTTCTGAAATTAAACCTACCAATTCTGAAATACAACTTACCATTTCTGAAATTGAATGGACTTTCTCTGAAATTCATCTCACCGATTCTGAAATTGAGTTTACCATTTCTGAAATCGAACTAACCAATTCTGAAATCGAGATTACTTTCTCCGAAATATAACTTACCAATTCCGAAATTGAAGTTGAAAAGGTATAGTAGGCCTTGGTTAAAAGAAAAAGTGAACAACGCTTAGCACCAAAATATACCTCTCCCCCCTCCACTTTAAGAAAAGTTCATCAAAATCTCTACAAAAATAAAACATAAATAAGGGTGGCCCGCTTTCGAATGGGTAACTTTGTATATTAAGTATTTTCCGACAGCTGAAAATGTAGGAATTTCACAAAAAAGGCAAATACATATCAGGATTCATCATTGAAATGAAAATATCTCCTTTGATTCATAAATGCAGCGTTTTTCTGTCCCTGAATGGTGATTTCACAATTTCATGGTCTTTCAGGAATTTTCGCCAACGGACACCTGAAATATGACTATGAAAGGGATCGAGGGCCGAAAGGGATGCCTTCCTTAGCGAATATGACGGAGAAGGCTATCCTGTTATTGAAGAAAAGTGAAAAAGGATACATATTGATGGTGAGTTCATTCCAGCTGAAGCCGATATTAGATGAATAGATTGATAGCACTTTTGCATTCCGTAAGAATTTTTTCATTTCCCTTTCGTGTTAGATTTATATAGAAATCAATGTACCTTATTCGCCTTTTTTCAGTTTGGTATTCGCTCATTTGCATAACAAAAATGACATAATTGAGAAATATAAGCTAGACCATTGTGCATGGTTTTCAAATAAAACCTAGTATTTAGGCGAGGTATACAGGGTGTCCTAGAATTAGCCTGCCAAACTTCACCAGTGGCTTCTTCGATCAAAAATGAGAAGAAAAGTTCAAATGATCATGAGTCGAGAAATATCTCCTAAGGGAGCTACGGTCTCCTGAAAGGGAGCTCCTGAAGATGATATTTCTCGAGTATTTCCGAAACTCCGTGTGATGAAAAGATGCAATTTGGTACGAGAACTGAACTTTTCATGCCCAATTCAGCGAAAATTAGATCAATTCAAAATTTCATACAGGGTGAGACCTCATTAAATATTGCTCAAACTTTTTCGTATGCATATTTTTTGGCAATTGATTATCGGACTATGAAAATTCACACCATTTTACAAAAAAAAGTGCTCTTGTTCCGCATCGATCAGATGTATCATTTTCGAGTGAAATCGATTCAAAAATATTGATGCACTCATATCTTATGCATTACGTTGCCAATTTTCAAATCATAGTGGCTAGAAAAAAAATCAAGTACTTCCTTTTTACTAAACAATCTCATGAAAGCGCAAAAGATAGGAATATGATGATGAAAAAACTACCCCAATTTTTGTGCATTTTTTTCCATTTTCACTACGCCTCATTGCAATGTTATGCATAATATCTGAGATATAACAATATTTATAAATTGCTTTTACTCGACAATAATACTACCGAACAGAAACGTCTGTTTATGTTCGGTGATACTACATCTGTTCGAAAAGTAGCAACAACTTTGTTATTTTATATGGAACACCCTGTATTTCATTGCATTTTCAGATTCTCTCTAAAAAGCTGTTTTTATCGATGTATCACACTTGGGGTCTAGCGGAAATGATTACAGAGATATAGGGTGTGAAAAATCGACATTTTTCAACTTTAGGATTTTTTTTTGTCGAAACTATTCATCATTGGTCAAAACGACTCACATGTCCCTATCTCAACTTCTGATCAACTATCTACTGACATTTAATTGAAACAAATACAGGGTGGTGCAGAATTCAGAATCTTGATCACTCGGTATATGTCCCAATTAAATATCAGTAGATAGTTAATCAAAAGTTGAGATAGGGACATCTGAGCCATTTTGACCAATAATGAATAGTTTCGACAAAAAAAATTCCTAAAGTTGAAAAATGTCGATTTTTCACACCCTATATCTCTGTAATCATTTCCGCTAGACCCCAAGTGTGATACATCGATGAAATCAGCTCTTCAGAGAGAATCTAAAAATGCAATAAATTACAGGGCGTTCTATTTAAAATAACAAAGTTGTTGCTTCTTTTCGATAGAAGCGGCAACGCCGCAGAGCTGAAAATAATTTAGATCGATAGACCAAGAGCAACTACGTGAGTAACCAAAATTTCAGAATGGAATGATCCTATGTCCCGTTCTCCATAAACGTCTAACGTACCATCGACCGTGAGTTACCCTGTATATTGTGACAATATTTTGTAACATTACATGTTTAGTGGGTTGATTCATTAATACTAGAAGCTTCTAGGTCGAAGGCGGGATGATAGACCAGGCGCACCATCGAGGCCACGCCAGGAAGGCTCTCGACGAGGTGGCAGCTTTCAGCGACGCCATACAGATGGCGCTGGATCTGACAGACGCTCGGGAGACGCTCGTGATCGTCACCAGTGATCACTCGCATTCGATGGTGCTCACCGGGTATCCCGATAGAGGGGCAGGAGTTTTGTGTGAGTATTGTTCATTCGTTTTAGCAGACCTGGAGTTACATTTCTGTATTGATTATTGATTCATTACAATGTTTGAATACTACTGTTGAAGTGGTTCCATTCAAAATTGGTAAGTGGGGGTTTTTGAGGTCGGAGATCATAATTTTTTTGTTAAAATTTATAAATTCAAGATGGCGGCTTCCAAATAATGTTTTGTTCTTGTATAAATGACGATAACTCCGTTGTTATCAACACAAAACTATTACTGCGACATATCATCTGTAAGAGAAAAAAAAGTTATTTGCAACTAAGTCATAGTGAGCTATGACCTACATTTGAAAAACTAAAGTTGGTGCTGATATCTCAAATTCTAGAAGAGTTGGTATAAATTTCATATTTTTTTCGAAATCACTTTGAAAAACTGCCATGAGAATGTGAAATTCCTATTTGAATATTTTCATAAATAAAGAAGTTACGGAGGAGACATGAAAATGATCAAAATCAGTTTTTTGCGTATAAAACAAAAACGAATAGATTTTATCAAAATATTTCTTCACATTATAGTTGGCCTTGACAAACTCCACATTTGGTGTCATTTAACCGACCTCGTATCTCTTACCGTTTAAAAGATACCCATGGTGAGCATGGTGAGTGGGACACCCTGTATAACATCCTTTTCAGGCACTGAGATATTAGACAATCAAATCAAAATTGTAATTTGTCTGAAGTGACGTTTTGAAAACTTCAACCCAAAATTGTCCATTTTCACAAATATTTTATTGGAACAAATGAGCTCTGATGTTTGCAGTAAACTATCGCCATTGACAGACAGGAAAATTTTGGGTCAATGACCTTCTCGTTTTTTTTCCAGCTCATACAAAGTCTGCGATGGATCACATCCCCTTCACTTCGCTACTCTATGGCACAGGAGGCCCAAATAATTTTCAATTCACTGTGGAAAATGGTACGGTAGTTCGTCCAGATCCATCCAGAAATGATACAACCGATTTTGAGTACTCGCAGCAGGCCGTAGTCTACACCGATGAAGTAACGCACAGTGGCACAGATGTACTGGTGTTTGCTAAAGGTAACTTGAATTTGATACACCGATGAAGTTAAGTCCGTAAGACCGTTACCACCGATACAACAAGGCCAGCAGACTCTGACGTAAACAGCTCGTGACGTCACCAAGAGAGGCCAGTGTTTTATTTTATCGCTTGTCGACTAACGCGTCAGTTCGTGTTAATTCATCGGTAATTCACGTATGTTTTTGAAACGGTCCCGAATTCTTTTGTTGTTTATTCATCAAAATAATTGGCGGAAACTGTTATGTGAAATATTTTGTGTTGTGATCGGCGAAATAACAATGCCTTTCAAGTGTTGTGTTCCCTTTTGTCGGGGGAATTATGTGGGTGGTTCAAAAGTTCATGCTTTCAGTTTCCCGATGGACGAGGAGCTATCGAAAATGTGGGTATATGCAATTCACCGCGAGGATTTTACTCCATCTAAGTTCAGTAGTAAACATAGCCTAATTTATAATGATGAATTAATAATAGAAGACAATTACTCTCTCATAAAAAGTATAAGTAGAGAAAAAATAGAAAAGCTTTGATTGTGCAGTTACTTTTGTATTCGTATATTATAGTCAACAAAATCATCTCTGAATTCGAGGAAATTCTCTTGAATGTTCATAATAAACGGGCATTTTTAATTCTCATTCTCAAATTTCTTTCTGAAAACGGTCATTTGCCTCGTGGCAATGAATGCAGAATTCATTCCAATGATCAAATTGCAACTATCATATTAACATGAACTACAAACACTCTACTTAAAAAGGTGAAACTGCATTTATCATGATATTTATCATGAAGATATTTGACTAAAAAGTTTCAAATTTCACCTTCTCTTCCACCTGTCTTCTGGATGGCATTTAGAACAAATTTCCCTTTTTTTTTTCATCATATTGGACAATTTATATATAATTCAACTATAAATATGATTTTCTTGAGATTAATCCATATTTAGTGAAAAGAAGGAAGAATATAATTCAAAATAATGGCGTGTATAATGTCATTCGAAAGCAATCTATTGACATTTGACATCTCGTATTTTGATTGACTATTGATTAAATGGTCGTCATCTGGAATGCGTGTTCACTAAATATGAAAAACTCGCCATGAAAATCATATTTCCTGTTGAATTTTCTACATAAAAATGTGCCATCGAAGTACATCATGAGTATATAAAGTGTCCAATGACAAAATAAGAGCAAGTAGCTTCAAATGCTCCCAACACAAGGGGAGAAAGAAGGCGAAATTTCGAACTTTTTCTTGAAATATCTCAATAAATAGTGGTTTGTTCACATTTTCATTATAAAATTAGGTTTATCAGACAAAAATACGTGAGTACCGAAAAAAATTTTCAAAAAAAAAACCATCGCATGATAAATGCAGTTTTACCTTAAAAAATTACGGTTTCAAGTGTAACGATCCACTTGGGTGAAAAATCCAACAACAGAAAACTGAAAACACTCACTGGTTATTTTTTCAGGTAATAGGAAGTCTCCAAGATAAATATAGGTAATTGTAACAAACGGCATGTCAATCAAAATAAAATACATTTTCCACAATTTTCTTTCGATCAATCTCACGATAAGTTTATGTTCTGCGGGCCCTGTATAAGTAGGTGTGAAGTTTACCTTCACCACAATTTTTGCTAATATATTTAATTCGAATGGGTTGCTGTAGGTGGATATTTGTGATTTATCCTGGTTTTTGCTTTAAAACTTCATTTTTCCATAATAAAATCGAATGGGGTGCGAAGAAGGGCTCAGTTGACGACTGGCATCCTTTTTTAACCGGAAGCCCTTCAAAAAACAGCAAAATCGGCTCAATGATGATCTAAAACTAAAATCGAAAAACGCGGTCGCCTTATAGCGCTATAAGCGCTTGTCGTTTCGAGCCGCTGGTTAGGCCTCACTAGGTGACGTCACCCACGGAGCATGCAGGCCTTGTTGTATCGGTGGTAACGGTAAGACACGGGACAGTTTTTTATCCATTTTCTGACTGAGAAATATATAGTCAATGGCAATTAAATATATATAAACATAACATAATAAATAATGTTCGGATTTCCACTTCATTCACTCCACAGAAGTTAATGGGGGTAGTAAGCTGGGGCAGAATAGTGAACAGTACATTGACAGTACGAAGGGTGTCACCATCACCTCGTTCGTGTTGGGATCTGCTGTCACCAGTAGAGGCGTCTTGATTTCCGTAGTTGAATTAGTATTTGGGGTGAGCCTCTTGTTGGTAGAAAAGGATATAGGCATCCCCACTGACAAGAGAATTCGATGAAATTGAAGAAACAAGAGAATCATTGTACTCGTGCCAAATTTTCTATTCTTGTGGCTGTGTTGTGTCCGCTGTAGGTGGTACCGCTGTGATTTGAGATAGCGTACAGATTGTAAGGACATGGAACGATGTCTTCAGCAGCATAGAGGCTCATGTCCAAGCCGATCAAGGGGAAGTTGACAATCGTGTTTAGTTCCTCACTGAACTCTTCAGTCTGCGAGAAACGTTTCAGATGTATAACCAGAATTCTAGGGAACTCGTGGATGAATAATGGCTTCAAACATTTTATTTTTTCATTACACATCAAGCAAGTTGGTTTCCCCTCGCCGTCTAAAATCTCAACACTGGTAAACGAGTCCAAGCAATGAGACAACCTGAGTTGGCCTGATCGCTGTGGTATCGGTAAAGACAACTCCGAAAATGGGTCGAATGTCTCCGAACAACTGCTTGAGGTAACTTGAATTTGATACACCGATGAAGTAACGCAGAGTGGCACAGATGTACTGGTATTCGCTGAAGGTAACCTGAATTTGAATTCACATACGTCTAGGGATTGGGATGATCACAAATTAAGACCAAATAGAAATGTGCGAAAGTTGTGCTTTCGCATCAGAAGAACAATGGTCTAAAAGACATCTTATATATAGACTGTTGACCAGTCGGCACACTATACTTTTTGCCTAGAGTGCCGACCATTCTGTGGAATACATTCTTTCTGTATTAAACCGGTCGGCAACAGACTATACTTTTTTTGGCATAATATTTCTCTGACACCGATTGAATATAATTCATTGGGTGAAATGGTATGTTCAAAAGTGTCAAATGCCTTACATAGGTCCCAAGGACAAGAAACCATATTTAAAATTTTCGTCAATCCGTGACTGGATGTCCGAAGTTACATACATTACTGCTATCTCTGTATCCTTTGACCTATGTAATCCATATTGACAACTCTACAATGGATTTTTATTTTCGAGGAAATCAAGAAGACGATTGTTCATGACTTTTTCAAAAATTTTAGAAAAAATGAGATGAGCGATCTTCACATCCAGAGACACAGCAATGTCTTGTACCAAGTATACAGCATCCAAGGAATGCAAGAAAGGCCCAAATTCCTTGCTTTCACTGCGAAGCGGTACCTACTTACGAAAAATTAAAAAAAAAACTAATGAACACGCTTTTTGTAGTTGACAGAACAGAACCAAAAAATAGAAACTAATGATTAGTTCAAAAAAGTAAAGAAGAGCGCTTTCATAGATTTCCGAACTAAAAAGAAGGAGAAGATAAAATAATAAAAGTGTGGTGATAAATACACAACATACAGTGTGTCCCACTTACCATGCTCACCATGGGCATCTTTTAAACGGTGAGAGATACGAGGTCGGTTAAATGACACCAAATGTGGAGTTTGTCAAGGCCAACTATAATGTGAAAAAATATTTTGATAAAATCTATTCGTTTTTGTTTTATACGCAAAAAACAGATTTTGATCATTTTCATGTCTCCTCCGTAACTTCTTTATTTATGAGAATATTCAAATAGGAATTTCACATTCTCATGGCAGTTTTTCAAAGTGATTTCGAAAAAAATATGAAATTTATACCAACTCTTCTAGAATTTGAGATATCAGCACCAACTTTAGTTTTTCAAATGTAGATCATAGCTCACTATGACAGTTACAAATAACTTTTTTTTTTCTTCCAGATGATATGTCGCAGTAATAGTTTTGTGTTGATAACAACGGAGTTATCGTCATTTATACAAGAACAAAAAATTATTTGGAAGCCGCCATCTTGAATTTATAAATTTTAACAAAAAAATCATGATCTCCGACCTCAAAAACCCCCACTTACCAATTTTGAATGGAATCGGACCAAATCTTGTCCGCCATCTTGGAGCAGCCATTTTTTTCAATTTCAACAAAAATTCCAAACTCCGATTAACTTGAAATTTGACAGGTGTTCATAATTTCGGTGACAATACATTATGGAATTTTTGTTGAAATTACAAAAAATGGCTGCTCCAAGATGGCGGACAAGATTTGGTCCGATTCCATTCAAAATTGGTAAGTATGGGTTTTTGAGGTCGGAGATCATGATTTTTTTGTTAAAATTTATAAATTCAAGATGGCGGCCTCCAAATAATTTTTTGTTCTTGTATAAATGACGATAACTCCGTTGTTATCAACACAAAACTATCACGACATATCATCTGGAAGAAAAAAAAAAGTTATTTGTAACTAAGTCATAGTGAGCTATGATCTACATTTGAAAAACTAAAGTTGGTGCTGATATCTCAAATTCTAGAAGAGTTGGTATAAATTTCATATTTTTTTCGAAATCACTTTGAAAAACTGCCATGAGATTGTGAAATTCCTATTTGAATATTCTCATAAATAAAGAAGTTACGGAGGAGACATGAAAATGATCAAAATCTGTTTTTTGCGTATAAAACAAAAACGAATAGATTTTATCAAAATATTTTTTCACATTATAGTTGGCCTTGACAAACTCCATATTTGGTGTCATTTAACCGACCTCGTATCTCTCACCGTTTAAAAGATACCCATGGTGAGCATGGTAAGTGGGACACACTACAGGGTATATGTCACGTTGAGCTTACACTATCTCTATCTCGAGAATCATTTGGGAGAAATCCATGAAAATATGCGTGTCTTCATTTCAGAATACGCTCTCTTCATTTGAAATATTCTCAGAAATGCTGTGTTGCCGCT